TTGAATTATCTTTCATTCATATTCATGTATCCATTCTTTAGTTCTTCTTTATTCATCCTCCATTCATATTAATGTATACTCATTCATCATATTATTTTCTTTATTCATCATCCATTCTTATTCATGCATACTCATCCATCCTTAAAGTTCATCTTCCTTTCATATTCATGTATACTCATCCATCCTTTAGTCTTTTTTGTTCATCCTCCATTCATATTCATGTATACTTATCCATCCTTTAGTCTTCTTCATTCATCCTCTATACATATTCATGTTTACTCATCCATCCTTTAGTTCTTCTTCATTCATCCTCCATACATATTCATGTATACTCATTCATCCTATTATTTTCTTTATTCATCATCCATTCTTATTCATGCATACTCATCCATCCTTAAAGTTCATCTTCCATTCATATTCATGTATACTCATTCATCCTCCATTCATATTCATGCATACTCATCCATCCTTTTGTTCTTCTTTATTCATCCTCCATTCATATTCATGCATACTCATCCATCCTTAGTTCTTCTTTATTCATCCTCCATTTATATTCATGCATACTCATCCATCCTTTTGTTCTTCTTTATTCATCCTCCATTCATATTCATGTATACTCATTCATCCTCTAGTTCTTCATTAATTATCCATTCTTATTCATGTTTACTCATCCATCCATTAGTTCTTCTTCATTCATATTCATGCATACTCAATACTCATCCATCCATCCTTTAGTTATTTTCATTCTTTTTCCATTTATATTCATGTATCCATCCATTCTTAAATTCTTTTTTATTCATCTTCCATTCATAATAGTGTATACTCATTCATCCTCCATACATATTCATGTATACTCATTCATCCTTTAGTTCTTCTTCATTCATCCTCCATTCATATTCATGTACTCATTCATCCTTTAGTTCTTCTTTATTCATCCTCCATTCATATTCATGTATACTCATCCATCCTTTAGTTCTTCTTTATTAATCCTCCATTCATATTCATGCATACTCATCCATCCTTTAGTTCATCTTTATTCATCCTCCATTCATATTCATCCATCCTTCAGTTCTTCTTTATTCATCCTCCGTTCATATTCATGCATACTCATCCATCCTTTAGTCTTCTTCATTCATCCTCCATTCATATTCATGTATACTCATCCATCGTTTAGTTCATCTTTATTCATCCTCCATTCATATTCATGCATACTCATCCATCCTTTAGTTCTTCTTTATTTATCTTCCATTCATATTCATGTATACTCATCCATCCTTTAGTTCTTCTTTATTCATCCTCCATTCATATTCATGCATACTCATCCATCCTTTAGTTCTTCTTTATTCATCCCTTAGTTTTCCCTCGTTAAAGTTCCATTGAGAAAGCAAGGACAGTCCCTTTAAGTCATTCATATTTAGATTCATTCATTTATTTCTAATTATCATCTATTCATCCTCATCTATTCTAATCTATCCTCATTATTACTACTTGGTAAACAGTTAATACCTAATCCCTAGAAGCTGTGTTTGTTGATTGTTTAAAATCTCCAAATATGGTGGGTAGACCCAGTCCCTATTCTTGGTCAAATCTGTCAAAATATTGAATATTTTAGAATACATAATCACAATACATATTCAAGAAAGATAGACTTTATATTTATAAATACAAATTAAGTATGGACATGGTTCGTTGTTATACAGTCACTAAAGCCTAATACCTCCTCTCCATGAGGGGGTCTTTCTTCCGTAATCCTCCCTTTCCCCTCCTTCTGTGAGTGTTCTTATTCCTTATTTGTTATTATCATTAATATTCAAATAAATTTATTATTCAAAATGCACTATGAACAGAAAAAGTACTGTATGTATATACATAATATATATCTTCAACATGTAAATTATGATTTATGAGTTATTATAAATGCTTAGATGAACATAACAATTAACAATTAACTGGAGCAGCAAAAGTTGAGTAAATAACAGCGAATAAAATAAATTAATGTTCAAAAATAGCATTGTTTTAAAAGGCACTTATTTTATCGGGCCCGAAAGAACAGGAAAGTAATGAATTTTGCAAAAGAAATAAAGGAAAGTGATCTAGCTTTTTATTTAATCCCTCTTTTTCTTAAATTAAAAAAATTCATTAAGGAAAATCCTCCCTCCCTATTCACCTTTTCTTAACTCCCCTTTTACAAAGATCCCCCTCCCTGAAGCGTAATTCTATCATAAATGACCTCCCCTCATCTACGTAACTCTTCCCTACGATTACCTCCTTCCCAATGCGTAGCTCTTCCTTTCAACAACCCCATTCTCTATATGCATATAAACTCTCACTTTTCAAATATCCTCCTCCCTCAAATCATTTCTATGCATTTAATTTATAAAATTTAAAGTGAAATCCTGATGTCATTTTAGTGGTATATATTTTTCAGAATAAAAAGTGAGTTTTAATGATTTTGGAGAAATAAAGTTGAAAAATTGAACATTATAGTACAACTTTATACTTTTTAAACAAGAATTAATTGATTTTCCCCGATACATTACTTATTTCCCCAAATTCAGCGATTTACTTTCGAATAAAAAAACGATTTTTGAAAAGGAAAGGGGGGAGGTTAATTCTATAAAATATACACCACTTGGTCAATTATGAGTATAAAAAGAGAATTCTTCCTCTTATTTATAACCACACAGTGTACTGTTGAAACTTATTTTACACGAAACCTCAAATGTATCATTGAAAAAAAGAAAGAAAATTCTTTATCTTTCAAGATTTTATTTATATTTTAAATATAACAACATTTTACTTTCTCTTCGAATTAATTAAAATTGCAAAACAATGTACTTGAGATAAACACATTTCATACATCTCATACAGCTTCATAGATCTACCAAAAACAGAGAAATACAAGTACATCATTTTATGTGCACAGTTTACAAATTTACGCTGTACGTACTAAAAATGTTCACAATAACCTCCGTGTATGTACACTGAAGTGTACAGTGTACGTACAAGACATTAGTCGAGCTATTGACCCGACTTTTCTTCATCTGTTTCCAAACTAAGACAGGAAAAAGTTAGACATTATATAAACCAATTCAGAATTTTTTTTTTCAAATGAATAAGATTGTCCAAATTGTCTAAAATAATATCACTTTAACACAAAGTAATTTAGTATATGTGCCAGTGGCAGCATTTAAAAATGTGTAAAAAAAATATTAATTGCGCCTCTGAATTTAAAAATAAACGGAAAAGTAATAAGCCTGTATGAAGTTTTTAAGACAAATCAACAAAAGATTTTAAAAATTTAAATCAAAAAACTGGTGCACATCATCTCTTTTATTAGTTTTCTTCTTACCTTTCATTTTCTTCGGTTTTCATATCATCCGTAATTACTGGTTGTACTGTACGACCAGTTTCACTGGGATCAGTTTTCATATCGTCCGTCTGTACAGTCGACGGACCGGGTCCATTGAGTACTGCAGGCACAGCTGGTGTATTGTCCACAGGGGCATTGACGGGATGGGATTCAAGCAGCTTTTCATCATCCGTCTGTTATAATTAAAATAATAATAATTATAATAATTATAATAATCATAACACTCATAATTCTCATAATACTCATAATACTCATAATACTTATTATTATAATCATCATAATCATCATAATCAAAATAATCAAAATAATCAAAATAATTAAAATAACCAAAGTAATCAAAATAATCAAAATAATCAAAATAATCAAAATAATCAAAATAATCAAAATAATCAAAATAATCAAAATAATCAAAATAATCAAAATAATCAAAATAATCAAAATAATCAAAATAATCAAAATAATCAAAATAATCAAAATAATCAAAATAATCAAAATAATCAAAATAANAATAAAACCAAAACAGTTTATTACTGAAGGACAGCAACGTTAGGTGGAGGAGATAGAGGAAAAGGTTTTGAAGAATAGAGGAACAATAACAGAAGTAACAACAGTAGTAATAACAGTAGAACAACAGTAGTAACAACAACAACAGTAACAACAGTAACAACGGCAACACCAATCATAATAATAATAAAAATACTAAATAATATTTCATAAAAACCTACTTTATTTTCTCCGAGAGTAAGCAACGGAAGAGCTGATGCACCTAAAAATAATCATGATTCAATATTTCTTAAATATTATGCTGATGAAAACCTTAGATAAAGGCACGTAAACAATGTCATCCCTTTTTTATAATAATAGTTTTATGAATTTCAGATATAAATCCATTATCCAAATTATTTAACATTCCTTAATATTCACATATCCATTTTAATGCTAAAAGTTATATTCATTCATTTATTTTGATCTAACAATGATTTAGTTTAATACTTCGACCCCTTTCAAACATCGTTTACAGTTATATAAATAACGGGTAACATTACAGACCCTCTAAAAACCTGAAATTAGACTTTTTTTTAAATCCTTGTTAACTATTTGGTCTATACTGTATAGGATCCATATCCTCGTATTGTTTAAGTTTACCTAGTTGGTATATAGGATCCATCTCCTAGTATTGTTTATCAAGTTAACCTAGTTAGTATATAGGATCCATATCCTCGTATTGTTTATCAAGTTTACCTAGTTGGTGTATAGGATCCATCTCCTAGTATTGTCTATCAAGTTTACCTAGTTAGTATATAGGATCCATATCCTAGTATTGTTTATCAAGTTTACCTAGTTGGTGTATCCATATCCTCGTATTGTTTATCAAGTTTACCTAGTTGGTGTATAGGATCCATCTCCTAGTATTGTTTATCAAGTTAACCTAGTTAGTATATAGGATCCATATCCTCNAGCGCGGATTCGCATTAAATTAAATAGATCCTAAGCAGTGTTCGCAGGTTTCCGTAAGCTAGTTTGTTGACATATTTAAAAGCGTCATATATCATGATCTAACTACTTGTAAAATAAAGACTAATCCTTTTCAGTTCAGCCGTTTGGACGATTTTGAGCCACAAAAATTACACCGTTGCATGGAGTTTACCTTTCTAAATCAAGTTTGTGTCTCATCTGTGTCAGAACAAGTAAATTAGGTTCATATTGGTTTTCAAGCAGAGACTTCCAGTAGTTCAAGCCCACTCTACTCTGTAATTAATATCTTGATATTATTCATTAAAACATCAGAAAATTCTTATTTTTTTTTCTCAAAGAGAACCTTAAAAGCTTTGTCTGATAAATTATGAATTAAATATCAATGAATTGATTATTTTCAATTGTGGTTTCACTACATTAGTGACTTTCGCATTTCTACTGCAGGAAAACATCAGAATTAAATATGTTTAAACCTACAAGACAATATCTTCCACATTATAGATTATATAAAGGTTTCCAGGGTACAGTTATTAATCGGGCATTCATTTTTAGAAAAGCATGACCGCTTTTCGAAAGTACCAATAAGAAAGATAAATTTATTTTCTATCTAAAAATTGTGGGATTGTGCTCATTTTCTTAAGTGTTTCTGCAGCATAAATCTGCAAGACACTTCGTAAAGAGAAAATAACCAATTTTCAGCTAGAAAAATATGGATGTATCCGTCATCCATGATCAGAGAAAGATTTAAAATGTACCGTTCTCTTTATAAATGGAAGGTTCCATGAAATTACATCTACAGAACCTAATATTTATACCTTAACAAGTAATATTCTCAACAGTTTTCTATCCTCTATAGTCCAGGTTGATTCATCCTCAACTATTTTATCAAAAAATATTCCCTGAAACATGAACTAATTGATTTTAAACATTGATTTGAAAAGAAAGATTTAAAGCCAGAAAGTTTTTAAAATATAACCCAACCTTGACAAAATTATAAAAACCCAGACAAATATTTACAAAAATATAAACTGCACTTCAAAATATAAACAAACCCCAAAAATATTAAAAACCTAAAAAATGTAAATTTTCCTCATATAACAAACCACAACTTTAAACAACATAAAAAAACGTAAAATAAAAAAAAATCAGATGTCGGAGGTAATTTTTTTTAAATTGCGTACTAATATTAAAATAGATAGATGGATAGATTAGAAACGATGGATTAATAAGATATATTGGATAGATAGATGAATATTGAATAGATTAGGTAAAATAGATTAACAAAATATATTGGATGGATAGATTAGATACAATGGATTCATAAGATATATTGGATAGATAGATGGATATGTTAAAATGCGATGGATTAATAAGATATATTGCATAGATAGATTAATAGATTAGATAAAATGAATTAATAAGATATATTGGATAACTAGATGAATATATTAGATAGGATGGATTAATAAGATATATTGGATAGATGGATAAATAGATAAATAGATTAGATAATATGGACTAATAAGATATATTGGATAGATAGATGAATAGATTAGATACAATGGATTAATATTATTGGATAGATAGATGGATGGATTAGATACGATGGATTAATAACATATATTCGAAAGCTAGATGGATTAATAATATAAATAGCTTTAATGGGTTAATATATATGGATGACAGATAAGATAGATAGATTAATTAAGATGAAAGATTTACCTGGAAAATAATATTTCCTTTGACTGAACAAGATATTCTACTTGGGGACAAATCAACTTTAACCTCACGACCTGTGGTGCCCTTAATCAATTCAGTTATATATCACAAAAAAATAATATTCAATATTTTTGTTTAATAAAAGTTTATTTGATCTTTGCAACCTAATGGTATAAAACTTAAAATTTCAAACCTTGAATAATTGGTCCAGCAGAATTCATGAAATTACGATATAAAACCCTTTCAAGTCAATAAACAATGGAGGTTTTCAGCCTGCACCTTTTCTAATACTTAAACGTAGTTTATACAGAGATCAGAACTTAATTTTGTGTGGATATTGTTAATCTTGAACTCTTGATCTCGATATCCAATGTTGGGACTTTTAAATTTGAGGATCGATGCTTGATCTCGCAATTAAAGTTATCCCTTCAGAGTTCTACTATGGAATTTCGAAGAGGAATTAAATCAATCTATTGATCGATGGATGTGAAAGCTTGATCCTGAGATTCATAACAGAAGTTTAGACATCAGTGTCCGAATTTCATGAATTTAAGTAGCGTCTCGAATCTACCAAAAACCGGTTTCTTGAAACATTGAATACAATTTTAAGTGGAACCAACCATATTTGAGCCGCGGCTCAAATTCGAACTCAGGTGAATATATGATGTAATACAATGCGCAATGGATTAAATGATTTGACATGGAACCAACGTTGAATTTAAACAGATGTGCTCGCTGCTCACCTGTTCCAAAATGACTTCTATTGTAACATCCGTTACAGTTTGATACCAGCGACCCCAATCTGTTGTACAGCTAACTATCCCACTCCTGTACAATGTACAGTACAGTGCACAAAAATACAAATAATAACAAATGAACAATTTTGGAAAATGGATTAATACGCAGAAGTTCAATTGATCCTCNTACGCCTCTCTTAATAGGAGTTTTTAATCTGTTAAAATTCCCACTTAGTTTTAGTGATTAAAATCATCATCTTAAAATTCAATACACCATAATCCATGCAGAAAATCAATGTTACATCTCTTGATGGATTTCTGAAGATAACTATGTATCCTATTGTTCCCGTTGTCTGATTAGCTAGAACCTCGAGAACTTTATTTACCTTTCTTCAAAACTTGCCATCTTGATGCATTTTCTCAATTACATATTTCTGAAACAACCACCGATCAATCAATCACTAGATTTAGAAATAACATTTATACTTTCTCCAGTTAGAACCAAAATGCAAACTTTATTACAACAACGAAATATACGAACAAGATTGGGAAGAAAGGTTTATAGTTTTGAAACAACTTGCCAAATATAGATCATGATATTATTAAACAAGAACCAAGTTATTAAACCATTATTTTAATTGTTAAAGGGAAATGTCTGTATTGTCATTAACTGTCTCCTTTAACTCATGATTTTCATTTTCATAATTAATAAAATACCAATAGTTGTATGTTAAGTGAACTATGGAGTTATTAATGAAATAATACAAAAAAAAAAAACTTTTTACAAGCACTAAATATTTCGGAGAAAAAATAAGAATAGTCTCCTAAAACAATTTTCTTTATGTACGATTGCACATAATAATATCTTCACATTTTAATTTGAGATTAGACAAAATTTAAAGGAGTATCTATGAAAGAGACAAAAAAATATTTTTAAATAAAGCATGGCATCATTGTAATGCATCTTCATATGCTCCAACTTTACACACTGCGCTGACAGTACGATAATATTGTCCACTGAACAGTACAACTGTACATTAAGATTTAACAGCAGCTGGCTCGGTTTTCCCGATATTGTGCGCACTCTTCATGTGCTCAAGAAGCTCGTTCTTATACCAGAAGCTGGAGAGACACGTGTTACAGGTGAGGTCGTCATCATCTCCATCATCCGTCGGCTTCGGTTTCTCCACAACCGTTATCTTCTCCTCGACCACAGGACGCTTCTTGGGGATCGGGATGAGCTTGCTTCCTGACAGTTTACCAAGGGTTGTCACGATTTTCCCGCCTTCTGCGCGCACAATGCCGCCAGGTCCGATGCGAACCATTTTTGTAGCGCCTGTTTTCAGGAAGGCGGCAGGTAGCTTCTTGGCAAGCGCAGCTTTCGCGTTAGCATATGCCTAAATAAAATTTACATTCAAAATCATCTACAAAGTTAACATTTTACTAAAAAAAGTGAGTAATCAAATCAATTTACCTTTGCCTTCATCTTTGCCAGGGGAGTGAGCTTCTCTTCGACCACGCAGATTTCATCGTCGTCCACCGCAGGTTTAATTACTCGACCTCGACCCCCGGAATTCTTCGTTGATCTACTCCCTTGACTCGATGGAGTCACCTATACGTGAATATGAATTTAAACGCTTTAATAAAGTATGCCATGAACGATGAACAGCAGCATATTAAAAGAACAAATCAGCAATATTTTTGTAGAGTGAAAAAAGGTTTCCACTCTTGTTAAATGCTTTCCAAACATAACAATCAATAAAAATCCTCTTTTTAAATCCAAGTTCTTTTTAATGGCCTGTTTCAAATTTCCCTCAACTATACTTAGCCACAATACTGTTGAGATTGAAGACCAATAATAATAATAATACAGACAATTTTGAAAAGCTATCAATTTAATAAAAATCACAGTAATTGATAAATTCGACTAAATAACAAAAAAAGTTGTGCATATTAAAAATAAAAAAATTCCTTCATATTTGAATAAGGAGGATTTTAATTAAACACCCTTTACAGTAATAATACGTCTTCTTTTTACACAGTGCAACACATAAATACTTCTAAAAACACAAGTGTACGTGCCTCCATACATACTCCATTATATAACAAACAAAAATGTGCAAACCAAAAGAAAAACTAAAAAAATGACCTGAATATTGGAAGATGAAAGTCTGTTCTTGACAGATGCAAGCGAAGCCTTTAAAAATTTCCTCTTATGACAATTAAAACAACATAAAAACATAAAAAATAAAGAATGAAAATATCAATTATATCAAACCAAAATGGTTTAAAAAACAAAAACGTTTCTTTTGAAAGAAAAAAATGGAAAAATCATAATTGAACACAATTTAAGTGTTATCATGTTTAGGATGATACAAGTATTTTCCCCCGAGTTTTGGAGAAAAACCGGCCATTAACAACGGATTTCTTAAGTCTAAATCCAAGGAGTAAGGAATAGAAGGGAGATATAACTGACGCGGTTCGCCCTACCATATGATTATACATGCTTTGCAGACGGGTGCTCCATTTGTATATGAAATATTCAGAATAGGTTATTGTATACGCAGTAAATGTACATCAGACAAATATTTCTTATTGAAATGAAGTACCCGCCTGCAAAGCATGTATAATCATATGGTCGGGCGAACCGCGTCAGTTATATCTCCCTTCTATTCCATACTCCATGTCTAAACCACGTTGAATAAGTTCAGAACTACGATCATTTCGGATCATGAAATTTACAAAGTACAAAATTAACTGTAATTCATAGCTCCTTCAAGTAATTATGACCACTTCCTTTAGAAAGATCTAAACCCCCAAAATTAATACAATTGTAACCTGAAAACAGTAAAATAATCGCCGTACTCGTTTTTTTCTTAATTTCAAATGTCGTCGAGGATTTATAAATGTGTGACTGATTTATCTCTGACAAAAGGTCCTATAGATTTTGTACATTATGATCAGGGGCGTGTACAGAAATTTGTCCGGAGGAGGGGGGCTGGCTTCGTACTGCATACCTCTTCAAAGCATAGTTTTCGCTAATCCAGAGGGTGGGCTCACCCGCTTAGCCCCCCTGATTTAAATACAACTTAAAACATACTTTGAAACATTTTTAATGTATTTACCTCCGGATCGTCAGCTGAGTCCTGATCGTCAACGTACAATGAGTCAGGATTCCTCAAATATCTGTTGAGAAGACTCTTCCTGTTCTCCTTGAGCGGCAACCAAATACTCTGGGAGCCACGCTGACCAGGTTCACCTTAGTAATCAACCAATCAATCAAACAATCATATAAAAATCAACGTTAGAAGTAGATATCGCATCCAGATTCCAGAATCCAGGAAATTAAAATTGTGTTGATTTTTAAAAAAATTATCACTAAATAAGAGAATTTATTAAAGTAATTATTCCTAAAAGAGTTTGAGAAAAACCTAATCAAAATTCTAAAAAAAACAAGTTTTCCTGTCAGTAAAAGTTACTAAATCCTACCATATCGTATTCTGCCGAGCTCTATACCGTATCGAATAGAACGGTTTAGTATCCGCCGAGCAGTATTGGTTGGAACCTCAACGACGTGACCAAAATCCTCCATTAGAACCTTCAGTAACGAGGTACGAGAGGTTCCATGCCTAAAATATTAAAGGGACTCTAAGTGTTATATTAAGTGACCCTCCATGCGAACATGGTAAGGCAATGCCCGATTTACAACGGTACCCTTGAAACCGTAATCTGATAAAAAATAAAATAACGTTGTTATTCTGATTCAAAAATTGTTTAATTTTGATAATTTCTTCAATCTTGTGCGCAAGTTACTATTGTAGAGAAGCCACAAATCTAAATAATCAGTTAACAAGAACTTCGGATAAAAATTAAAATTTATTTTAGAAAGAGGGGAAAAAATTTGATCAAAACTTAATAATTTAAACTTATGCAGATATTTTTTTTTACTTTCCGTCAGTAACTTTCAGGACATTTACATTGGTATTTCAAAAATGTATAAATACGTAATAAATCAGGGGTGTAAGGTGTATTGAAAATAAATACCCTCCCGGCCCCCCCCCTCTCCCAACTGGGAGAAAAATGATTTGTACGAAAGAAATAAAAATTGGTAACCAACGGACGAAATTTTCTACCATTTGAAACCTATATGGCAACACTTTGTAAGTTTTCCAGAGTATTTTCACCAAAAAATGTAATACATTATATTAACCAGTGAAAAACTTATTAAAGGAATGAAATGGATTTGAGAATTGATTCGAAAAATATCTAATCCGTCATCCGTATCGTTGAAAATTCTAAGTATGAATGATTAGTTGAAAAAAAAGTTGAAATACCTATCTGCTAATTTGGCCACGGTTGCTTCAGCCATGTCTAAAAATGTTGGTTTACAAGTGCTATCATGATTCCCGTAGACATGAATATTCAGTTCCCCAATAGTCTCAGCGCTATAATCGCACTCAAGACACGCAAATAGCGCGTCCCGCGACCGGTTTCCGCGTCGCGTTGTTCCACTTTTCACTTTTTTAGAGTTTCGAGAGTTTTTAGATTTCGACACTTTCGCGGTTGGTTTTCTTTTTCTAGCCGTTCTTGATCTAGGCGTGTACTCCTCTTCTTCGTAATCGGAATCATCATCGCTGAGTTCCCGTTTCCGCTTTTTGTAAGAGCCGCGGACAGGTTTCTCCGGCAAATCAACGATTGCCGACATAAATTGAGAACTGTTTATTGTTCCAGAGTTAACCTAGTAGCAAAATATTGTATCAATAGTGGTCAAGATTAATATTCGAAAAAGACAAAAAAGAAAAATTCTCTTAATTAATTTTTTGTATATCATTTTTCATTCAACTATTTGTAAATGTAAATTATTGTTAGTAAACAAATAAATTAAAAAGTGTTAAAGAAGGGTTTTTATTTCAATCAAGTTTTAACGCACTTAAAAAAAAAAATTTGCGTCTGAGTTGAACTGCAAAAGAGATTTTGATAATTGACAGATTATTGTTAGAAGTAACTTGTTAAAATAATATCGTAAAAGTTCTAATATATGCTCTAGTATCTGCTTCATGAAGTGTTGTCATTATTCTTTTTTCATTAAAAAAGAGCAAATAAGGTTATAAAAAAGAAAAGACAAAGGTCAAAAACAAAAATGGTGAAAAAAAGCTACCAAAGAAAAAGTCCATCATTTTCATACTTGATAAGATATTCGTAAATACTGATTTTATTTGAATAGTTTCTCTATGAATATTATTACAATAATCAGAAAATCTCCTTTATAATCCACTTGGCCTCAGAACATAAACTAACCTGATCTAGAAATCCATTAGTAGAATCCTCAACTGCTCCTTCAGTTAGGGAACTATCAGCCTCATCTAAAGGATCCCCTGAACATTACATGCTTTAGCTTTTGCCATATCTTCACAACCAAAACTATATATTATCAATTAAATGTAATATTCGAAATGAAAATGTAAGTAAAATATTTTCGAAGAAAATTGTTTCAGTGTTTTTATTTTCAAACTAGGTTCAATCGAAATCTTAATTTTTTTTTTATTATAAATAATGGTTTTGTAAATTATAGCTTTAACATATTTTGAAAAAAGCATTTATGCATTTTTGAAGTAAAAAGAAGCCAAAGTTTAGGCTAAATGTCGTTGAAATAAGTAGGGCTAGTTGTTCTCCGTTCTAGTAAAATAACGAATTGTCCTAAAAAGTAGTTTCGTCTAATCGTAACAAGTTCAACTACTATAATTAATTACCATCACAGAGAATTTATTTATTAAAAGGATAAATTTTGAGCACTGAATTTCAGAGGACAAAATGTTACAATTTAATAAGAATTCAGCTATTGACAACATTTTTAACCAGCACAATCTAATTTTAAATCATATTTTTTGTAACGCAGTGAAGTCACAGGGCAGATAGAAATATAATAAATACCTCCGGGTGCCGTGGTAGAGAGCGCCTCTTGTCCTTCAGAGAAAGGATTCTCTGCAATCTGTGGTTCTCCCTCGATCTCAATCAGATCTTCAGGATGTTCCTCATCATCATCGTGAGCTTTCTCCCCATCTTCTTCTTCTAGTTCAGTCTCATTTCTGAACATCATGATTGGGATCCTGACAGGTTTAGGTTGAGATTTTGCACTCTCTTCAGTTTCTTCTGTTTGTTCTTCATCCCCCTCCTCCTTCTCCTCCTCAGCTGTTCCTGTCATCAGAGGATCTTTCTCGTTAACATTCTCATCATTTTCTTCCCCAGGTATTTCATTATCGTTTTCAGTTCCATCATTCTCATCATCCTCGTCATCCTTCTCTCTTTCAGTATCTTTCTCATTTACTTCTGGTCTTTCGAAATCTTTCTCAAGTTCCTCCGGGGTTTCTTCGTCGTTATTACTTATTTTGGGACTTGTTTTATCCTTCTCACAACTTTCAGGTTTTACTTTCTCGCCATCTGTTGGGCTTTTTTCATCAGTGTCCGGACTTCCGTCGTTGATTTCATCAACTTGTTCATTTCCGTCTGGTGTATTTTCTTCATTCTCATTCCCCTTGTAAGCCCGGTATTCTAGGTCCAGGGGATCATCTGATTCTAGCGGGTTTTCTACAGGATGCGATGAGTCGGTATCTTCAGTTTCCAGGGGATTGTCCTCAGCTTCTAGAGGATTATCCAGAGGATCTCCGGCACTCTGTCCAGACTCTGAGACTGAGCCATCACCATTACTTTCTTTATTGTTTTCAGTTGAATTGGATTCATAATCTGAACTTTCAATATCAGGTCGCATATTTTCAGTATTTTCGGGAATTTCCTTCTCTGAAGGTTTAAACCCATTTTCTGTTGAACTAGGTTGGGCGGAGTCACCACCTTTATTCTCTAATCCATTATGCTCCGAGCTCGTCATTTTGTGTGTTGAGCCATTGTGAGCTTCAGACAAATCTTTAAGACTATTAATAAGGTTTGATGAGTTTAGGTTGTTCACTTGATCCTCAAGGTCTCCAGCTAGCTCAGGGGTCTGTTTAGAACCTAGCTCCAGATCACCTGACAAACTCGTATCCGACATTTTGTCATTACTTGGCAATCTGAAAATAAGTTCAAGTACATTTTTTCAGTATGAATAATTATAAAGTAGGTACAACACATCTGCTTATAAAAAAACATCGTCAGACTTACAAATATTTGAAAATTTGATAATATTGTATTAATCTATTTGCGCGGGGATTTCGGACTGGCAATCCCCCAGAGCAGAGAAGAGACCGTAGAGGACACAAAGCTGAGACTGGAGGATGGCACAGAGGGATTCCTAATAAACACAATGTTAAATATACAAATTGATAAATGTTTTGCATAATGTGTCCGTTTGGGACTCGAAACGTCAAAATGGCTGTGCAAGGAGTGCAAGACTGAGCCAGTCTGTTAAGTTAATCTGGAGAAATTTAGGTAATATAGAGAAATTCCATGATGTTTAAGTGCAAACCGGTCGCATTAGATGAACATGAAAGTTTAAATGTTTAAAGAATGAGTTGGCGAGAAGCATTTGGTTAAAACAAAAGAATCCAAACAAGAAATTAATTTTAAGTGATTTTCCATTTTTAAAGTGCCATGTTAGTACCCTTAACGCCTTGCCCAGTGAAAAATGAATGAGAAATCTAGGTTTCTTAACCCTTTGAAAATAGCTATTTTCACAATTAATTTCCTTGAAAAGTTAACTTGCGGATAAACGATGGAGGACATTGTCAGAATTTAACACTTTTCAAGCTACAGACTCAGACAGAGATTTAAAGGGTACCGGTGTACATCAGACGTGTCACTTTTTTCTTTTGATTTTTCAAGATGATGAGTCACTTCTAAGTCCTCAGTCTTTTTAACTATTAAAATCATTATACTGACATAACTGAAATTCGAATGCTAATGAAAAATAATAAAAATTGGACCTCTCTAGAGTATGATCTGAGGGAGAGGATGAGAGGGTGTCGGATACATCTTCAGAGGTTACACTCTCCCATTCTAAATATTATTTATTCATTTATTATTATCATCTCCTGCAAATACAAAGCAGAGAGTCAGTATGTAGGCAGGCTACCTATAGCCGATGATAGAAGGTCTTACCGTAACTGGATCATAACCGTGTTGTAACAAAAAATGCTCCCTTGGTAACAAATTTATATAATATAGGAACCAAAGCGCCAGAACTTGGAAAAAAAACCTTGAAAATAATTTTTCATTTGGTTCATCCTTGTACTCCTGGTTACCAGAGAAGGAAGGAAGGGGAATACTAACCTTGTAAATGTTCTTCATCAGGTTCCCAGTCTGGTTCCTCCTCCTCATCCTCCTGGTTGAGGGGGGGGGGATACTAATTTTTCATTTGGTTCATCCTTGTACTCCTGGTTACCAGAGAAGGAAGGAAGGGGAATACTAACCTTGAAGATGTTCTTCATCAGGTTCCCAGTCTGGTTCCTCTTCCTCATCCTCCTGGTTCCTCAGCTCCTCACTCTCACGGTGTATCTCCGTCTCCCAGTCAGACACTTTGTATTCAGATTGTTCTACAGTTAAAGGTCGGTTAATTCTTATTAAACATGCCGTGGAATCCCTCCCCCCGCCCCTCATTCTGAAATAGAACAACCTTCCTTTGACTTGGAATAGCATATCACGAGGTTGCTCTTTTTCAGGAGTAAGTTGTGGGGCGAGGATAGAAGAACTAACTTAATTCATAGTAATAAAATAATGATAACTTTTAGGCACTGGGCTATTCACAAATAATGATACTTCAAAGACGACTGACTACACGGATATTGTTCAGTCAATTTTCTCAATAGTTCCCTGCAGTTTCGAACTTGATTCTTTCTTCACCAAATCATTAAATTTACTATTGAAAGGTTATACTTTGGGAAAAAGTTCAAACTTAACCTTCATACCGTTGTTTTTAAGGTCATCACTTGATTCTCATCCTTTGTTATAACCCTGTATGTTCAACAAAAATTTAAGTTTAAGTTTAAAGGTAAGTTAGATTTAACAATTTTTTTCTTCTTTTCTAAAGCTCTTTGAACATCAAAACTGAAAGTGTATATAAATCTATGAGAAGGTCGGTAGTTACCAAGAGCAAAATACGGGAACTCAGATATAGATTCCTCTAATACACCATCCACCCCGTAAACAGGAGAGACAGGGACACTATCCAATAGGTGCTTTACTACTCAGGCAACAAATATATTATCTCTACATAATATCTTAATAAAGTAGTAATCTCTGTTTGTTTGGTTGTCCGATCATAACTCATGAACCAGGCCACGGGAATGTTTTTAGTCTGGGTTTAAAGTTTTAAGTTTAATGAGTTGATTTTTAATATATTTAATGTAGTTAATGATAAAAATAAATTACCATTGAAATGGAAAAAACGGCATATTTCCGGTCAAAAACATTATACATTCGATTTTAATTTATTTTGCTCGAGAAAATTATTTTCATGGCACAAAAAATGTTACCCCTTTTCCCTATGAAAATATCATACTTTCAAAATTAAATATGAATTTTGTGATTTTCTGTCAAAAGAAGTAAGTTAAATAATTGTATTTGTTCCTAATGTTATAACATTGTAGACAGTCTGACAAGGCCTAAAACAAAAAATAAAGGTAAACGATTGTAAAATTCATCGAAACTTCATTATAATCTCAATTGCAAGAGCTTTTAAGGCATGTTTACTTATTTATATCCTTCAACCTCTTATAAATTATCATTCTTAAATAATTATTTCATTTCTCCTTGGAAGTGTATTTGATATTTCTCTTCCCATACTCCTGCTATACCTTTCCTTGCCTTGCTATTTTTCCTTCTCGGCAATTCTCGTTCCTTTTTAATAATTAAAGGAATCCGGGGCGTACATAGAAATTTGTAAAGGTTGGGTCTCTTCACCTGAATACCCCCTTGTAACCAAATATTTCCCTTTGATAGGATGGGGGGGGGAGGAGGGATGAAGTCTCAGCCCCCCTCCCCCTGTATAAGATATCTAAATGCAATGTCTAGACTATATAACTACCTGAGTATAACAGGGTTGACCCCAAGGGCTAGACTGAGGCTGATGGTGTTAAGGTTCAGTTTCGCTACTTTCTTCGCGAACCTGTACTCGCTTGTGTCAATCACACCGAAATCAGCGTAGCTTAGTTTTATTGGTAAAGGTACTAGAGAAAACAGGTCTTAATTCTTTATTCAATTTTCTACAATTTCACATTGAAAAAACTATAATTTCAATTGAGCCAAGTATCTCGTTAAGATTTGTTGGACTGAACTTTTGAAACTATTGTATAAAATTTCTTTATATAAAAAAAAATCGGTGTTTTTGAAAAACTATCAATTAATCCGTTAAGAACAATTCCTGCGGTAATATGAGCAATTAGTTTTATGAGTTGAGTCAGCAAAGTTAATCCTAAACTCAAGGAAACCATCAAAATTCTATTCAATTTCTTCATTAGATTTTGTAAAAATTACAAAGTAAATATTTGAAATTTATTTTGAATATTTTGGAAGGTTCCTGCTGATATATTAAAGGCTGGCATTGGTTCTACTCCAACTGATCCCTCCTAATAAATCAAATAAATATTAAAACGAATTTTTTTAAAAAGAAAATCAGGAAGACACTTTACCCAGTTTAAATTTCACGAGAGTCTCCAATTTTTCCAAATGTTATTTTCCTTTATGTACAATTTCCTAGGTTGCAACTTCTCAAGTATAGCTTACTGTCACAGCCGCAGCACACGCAAACCCACCATCACAGTGCAAGGGTAAATGCACAGGCATCGCAACTAGCCAAAACGTCAAGGCCCAATTCAAGTATCAAAGTCATTTGAGATTTCATGGGAAAAAATAACGCTTGTGACATGCAAATCAGAATATAATATTAGAATGGACGAGATCTTGATTTTAAGGAAACTTTGTTTAGAGAAGAATTTCTCAAGTCTTGTTGATAATTAGGTCGGAAATCTACTCTGTCAGTTTCCATAGCACAATTTTTCCGAAACTTCATTTGCTTGTAGAAATAAGGGCATATATACAGAGATTATAATTCAGTATAATCTAATATTTAATTAGGTGGGATACCCCGGTAGATCAGCTTCCATAGCACCATAATTTCAAAACTTTCTTTGCTTGTAGCAATTAATAAGGCGTATACAGGGTTATAATTCAGTATAATCTGATATTTAACTAGGAAGGATACCCCGGTAGTTCCGCTTCCATAGAACCATAATTTCAAAACCTTCTATGCTTGTAGCAATTAATAAGGTAATTACAGGGTTATAATTCAGTATAATCTGATATTTAATTAAGTCAAACACCTAGTAGGTCCGCTTCCATAGCACCATAACTTCAAAACTTACTTTGCTTGTAGCTATGAGGGCGAATACAGGGGTATAATCTCCTGAGCTGGTGAGAAGAGGAGATACAACCCTGTACTGCATCTCTCCACTTTGCTCTGTAGAAACCCATCTAAAAATTAACAGAAAAAAATTATTTTTATGATGGGAAACCAAAAACCCCAAAAACGGTAAATTTTGACTTTAATTTCTAACACCATTGATTTCCATCGACGTAAAATATTCTCACGGGGTTTTATTCCACTAAATTACGAATTGATAAGATATATGATTTTTAAGACAAATCAATTAAATTTGGGGTAGAGTATCAAAAAAGGGTGGACAACTTTGACAGATATATATATATAAAATATATCCTTGGTTTACAAATATTAGAGAAACTGTTGAGTAAATCCTAACCTGCCGTGTATATAAGATGTCCTCATGGCTTCTGCTAAACAATCCAGCATTAAATCTGATTGATCAGGGTTACAGGGATATACTTCTTCAATGGGAAATATATCCTTTAAGCTTTGAACTAAACTCAACCTTAAAAATTAAATGTCATATTTATTTTTAAAATAGGTTTTATTCATAAAAATCAAATTTTAAAAGTGATTTTGTCCGAATTTTATAATATTTACCTGATGTGGCTGAGCTCAAACATGTCGTTCCCAAGTTCATTTTGTTTACCACGAACATGTTCACTGCGAAATTTTTCATGGGACACCCGCATTTTCTCCACTTTGCTGACGTACACAGGCAACTGTTCAGTTCGCTTCATGTTGGAGGATTTTAACTTCTGCAAGGAGAGTTCGGTTTGTTGAACTTTTTCAGTTTTATTTCGGATAAGATGTTTTATGTGTTTCAACTTGGTTTTCATTTGTTTTATTTCTTCTCTCAATCTTCTCTTCTCAATAATGTCTTGAATTTTTGAACTAATCTGTTCCTTTGATTCTCTATATAAAACATATTTTTCAATAACTCGTGTTTAAAGATAAAATATAAAATGCGCTTCCCTACCTAATATCACGTTGTAGAGAGAAGAATCTAAGATTTTTGTCAGAAAATCTTTCATAGAATTTGGTACTACTGTGCACAAAGTCTCCAGACACTATACAACCCTTAAACAGAGATCCTTTTTACCAATAAAACAAACAAACAAACAAACAAACAAACAAACAAACAAACAAACTAACTAACAAACTAACAAATAAACAAAACAAACAAACAAACATCATTCCGTAGAAGTCTGGGCTAAGCCTCTCTAAAAAAAATTGGTATCCCAATTGTTAATGTCACAATTGGGAATATCTATAAGAGTAAAGTGCGTTATTTGGTTAAATTAAAAAAATGCTGAATTAAGTTACATCTATTTATAAACCCCAATATCATTGCAAATAGGGATGTTAAGCTAACCAAAATTACTAACAAAACTGTTAAAATATTTTCTTAAATTGCGGTATTTGGTTATATTTGAAATTATGGAACTTGGTTTGTAGTTTTACGTTATTAAACGTCAACATCGGCTGGACCGATCAGGCCTAAATTTGTTGTGGCAACTCTCATTACTCAGGAAAGGTTCTGGGGGATCAGAATTAAAAACATTTGCCTACAAAAAAATCTCGGATTTCGTCAAAATCCGTAAAATTTGAATGTTGCTGTTTTAAAATGAGAAAATGGTGTCAGATAAAGCAAGAACAAGAACCTACCAGGAGGAAGTGGATGTTGAAGTGAAAGTGTAAGTGAACGACTAACGTGGAAGTGGAAGTGAAAAAGGAAGGCCAAGGGGAAGAGGAAAGCTCCAGGAAGATTGTTTTGTTTTATTTATTATACAAATTTTCTAAATAAGATTTATTTTTAAACGTTTTATGTTATTTTCAATAATAAGAGAAGAGGAGGAAAGATTTATGTGAGAGATAAGGTTTCAATGTTTTATTGGTGCAAACTGCTAGGGGCGAATAATATCAAAAGCAAATAATTTAAATCTTTTCAAAAGTTCATTGTTGTAAGATTTGGATGTTTATTTTTTTGAATGAGAAATGAGTTTAACATTTTTTTTGGTAGGAATAGACTCATAAAAAAAAGTGTTGTTATAAACATTTCGAATGTACCAGCTTAAACGAGTGTAAAATGATAAAGTTTAACACTGAAACCAAATACCGCAATTATAACCAAAGTAAGTGAAAATATGACCAAATACAGCAATTTGATATGCTTTAAAGAAACCTGTGTATCTGTAGCAATTTTGAATAATTACCATTTTTTCTTCGGTTTCTTACTCAAATATCTTCAAACTTTAGAATATATGTTTTTCCAAGAATCTGTGTTGACCTATAGTGAGTGATAAGTATTTTTCTTGAAAATCTGAAAAGTTAAGCTTAATCATAACCAAATAACGCACTTTACTCAACAACAATTTCATCCTTTTAAAAAACAGTTTTCACACAATACGTCCAATCAATCATGAGCTTTTTAATTTCCAGTCGTCAACCATCATCATCACAATTTACCACCCCCAACCATCATCAATCAATCAATCATACCATCATCCAATCCTGCCACTAACAAATCTTTCGCTGTATTTTATATAGGTTTTTTTACCTGGCAATAAAATTTCTGATTTGAAGCATGGCATAATGGACATTTCGGCAGATCACTCCTGTGATAGCTCTAAAAATCAAATTTAATAAATCCGCTTAAACAGTTCTAAGCTAATAAAAACGACTGAGTTCATGAAGATTTAAACTTTTTACCTTATGCCTTAGATTTGAAGAAACTAGTTTAAAATTTAGACCAGGAGACGGGGTCCCGAAAACCGGTTTATCACCTTCACCCATGTGGTCCGGTTCCGGCTGGTCCGGGTCAATTGAGAACTCGACGGGGCATTCTTCATTAAACGAGACCTGTAACAATTTGCCATTTAAATAAGCATTGCTATTTAATAATTTGATTAGTTCAATCTAACATAATTATTTATTATGTTTTTAAACATTTTTTTCTTAAGACATCAATTATAGAACATTTTCTCTGACATTTTTATCAACCAGTCCATGGTATTTGATCTTATAGCCATTCAATCTTGAAAGAACAAGACCGCCAAATTTAGAAGTATAACGAAGAAGATATTTACCGAGGCTGAGCCTGAAGGACTCTCTTCCATCTTAACTCAAGTCATGTTATCTGTAAATTATAAACTGAACAAGACGACATAATACATATGTTCTCAAGGATAGTATAAATAAATTATGTAAATTAAAATGTATCACAGTTATGTAATTAAACAACAGATCACGAAAGTTTAAGTTTGGAAAAATTAAATAAATGCTTCAACAACGGTAGTTATGCATGAATTTTTTAAAGTTTAAGAATATGCTATAAATTTATATTTTATTTGATCAATTGGAATGAAACTATCGACCAAGATTTAAGAACCCCTGATAGGAGTTGAAACCCTGAATATTGAGGTCAGTAAGGATGTCAACTTCACAAAAACATCCTGAAAATAAAACATTATCAATCTTCAAGTCAAAAAAATCCTCCAACATTGCTTTAATCCAAACTGTACACTCTAAATTGCCAGTGCACAGTGTACACAATTTGATTAGCGCCATTGTTTTCAAATGTTATTTTCATTGATGTGTACATAAAAACTTTAGAGGTTAATACAAGCATGATAATTTGCTAACAACTCAAATGCAATCAGCCTCATTTACTATCAACCTCACTTGCTTTAAATTCACTTGCTATCTGTTTTACTGGCTCTCGACCTCACTTGCACTCATGCCTCACTTGCTATCAGGCCTCACTTGCTCTCCAGACTCACTTTCAAAAGGTTGGTTCCTTTACTTGAGGGAGAAAAACAATCCGGCTCCATGCCCACGCAACGTTTGACACAGACTGGAGAAATTCCGAATTTTAAGAATTTTCTATTTTTTTTGGCCGATTTTTAGAAAAAGAAATTGGTAAATATAAGGATCGAGAGCAAGTCAAAATTTTAAAGCAAATGATGATTGATAGAAAAATTGTTGATTGCAACTGAGGATCGATAGCAAATTGGCTTGATAGCAAGTGAGATTTGATAGCAAATCGGTCGATAGGAGTTGAGGCCGGATAGCAAATGAATGTGATCCCAACTGAGTTGAAAGTAAATGAGTTTGAAAGCAAATGAGTTTGATAGAAAATGTTTGGATAGCATGAAAGGCTGATAGCAACTTATTTTGATTGCAAGCGAGTCGATAGCAAATGATCGTGCTCCGACAAGGATAGTGTAAAGGTTTCCCGCAAAGGATGAGATTTCAGAGACGAGTTTCGGAAAACATTCAATCCCTTTCTTAGTTTCACGGTTCAATGCAGCGGTTATCTTGTCTCTATCTTCGTATAATTATTCAGTTTTGGCACAAAGCAGAATTCAATCTTAGGATCATCATATTTAAAGAATTTAAGTCCGCTATTAAAGTATCATTCTGTGTGAGTTCAATACAAGAAATAACATTACTAAAAAACAGAAAAAGAACTTGTATATTGTATTGAAAAAGTATAAAGATGAAAAGCAATGCATGAGACCAGGGGGGGGGGGGGGGGATCTTCACCTGATGAATATCTGCTGGAAGAAGAAACTGTAAAGTTTTAACCTCTGTCCCTCCCCAACCTGAACAAAAGCATCAAGATAAACATCAACATCATATATATGCCCTTGATATTTCTACCTGACATCTCCATCATAAATCCTTTAATGCACTTGAACATAAGCTCAGCTCTCTTCATACACCAGGCAACCGTCATTCTCTAGATCAATCATGTTAATGCTGATAACCAATAATTATCTCTAATTCAGGGGTATTTATTATCACAAGAGTTGATTTCTCCCCCACAACAACTTGAATTTAACTTTTTATAGGTATCGGAGAACAGTTTGAAAACAGCTTGGATGCAAAATTACTTCTGAATATTTATCTTTTTATGAGTTTACTTCTTCTTCTACCTAGAACTCTTTATTTTTTATTTTTCTCTACCCATTTTTCATTTGGAACTAACGCATATTTTATTAGAAAAACAAAAAGTTGTCAAAATCTAAAATTGCGAGAAAAAATGTTTGGAACTAAAAATTGATGAAAGGTAAAGCTTTACTCTCATATCTATCATATAAGATCTAAAAGGGGCCCCAAATTTAATTCTTCAAACCCCCGTGAATAAAAGTTGTCCCTAAAATCAAATCAAACTTTGCAGGGATTGCTCAAGGCGCCTTATGAGGGTTTGAGTTTCAAGTCTAGTAAGATCTGAGGATCTTAATAAACTATATATGTGTTCAGGGTGTTCATACTCGAGATGTTCTCTAGCTTGTACCACAGAGAAATCCTATCTTTAATCTAGTAATCCTACTAATCTCTACAAATACATCAAATCTTCAAATACTCTTAATGTCCAAAATGTTTTATATAATCTGAGAGTTTAATGTAAAAACATTTTAAAGGCCTAATTTGTATCTTGAATTTTAGTATGGTTTTATGATTGAAAGATGGATGGGTTACATTGGGTACTTCCCTTGTGGTAATTACCTCTGTCATCTTGTGTGAGAGAAGAAGAGGGATGGTAACTGTTGTTATATCATTCAAACACGCAGTTTTCAACACATTTCTCAAACCAATTATTACAGGGTGACGCGAACTAAAAATTTAACATGTTTTTTGTAAGAATTTATATGTATATATCAATCAATCAATCAATGTCATCTAATCTCCCCCCCTTCCCCCACCACGTATTTGGATTATAAAACATCGTTCACAAGTATTTGGATAAAAATATTTACATATTAAATTGGTGGAAACTTTTGATTGGATAAAATGAGTTTAACTTTTTCTTTTTTGAAATTGATATAACCTGACGTTTCCATCATCAAGATTATCCTCTGCTATGAGATGGAAGACGACATGTGTCTCACAAAGATTACTATGCCTAGTCAGGTAGAAGTCCCCACTGTTCAGTTTATTAAAATCCTTCTTCTGCTGGGTAGAGTTGACCAGCTCCCCGCCTAGCCGGGCTTCTAGCTCAGCTCTCTTCTTCATGAAGTCCTCCCGCCATGAACTGGATTTACGGATGTCTCCCTATGAGAAAAGAAACTTATTACTTACTTATAACTCTAATTTTCTAATTTACCTTGGTAACCTGAACTCATAGATGTATGATATTTAAAAGTTTGCATTCTGAGGTCAGAAATATTGATAAGCATGACTCGGTATAAATTAGATGTAAGGTATATTTGAACATAAACATGTTCAAGTGTGACCAAGAGTGTACTATAGTAGAAGCTTAATAGTTATACCTAGTTAAACAATTTCTAGCTAAATTCATCATATACTGTTATTATTAGCTGACAATCAAATTAGATATAACGGATATTTGAACATAATATGTGTGACCAAGAGTGTACTACAGTAGAAGCTCAATAGACCTAGTTAAACAATTTCTAGCTAAAGTCATCATATATTGTTATTATTAGCTGACAACCAAATTAGATATAACGGATATTTGAACATAAACATGTTCAAGTGTGACCAAGAGTGTACAAGAGTAGAAGCTTAATAGTTATACCTAGTTAAACAATTTCTAGCTAAATTCATCATATATTGTTATTATTAGCTGACAACCAAATTAGATATAACGGATATTTGAACATAAACATGTTCAAGTGTGACCAAGAGTGTACTATAGTAGAAGCTTAATAGTTATACCTAGTTAAACAATTTCTAACTAAATTCATCATATATTATTATTATTAGCTGACAATCAAATTAGATATAACGGATATTTGAACATAAACATGTTCAAGTGTGACCGAGAGTGTACAAGAGTAGAAGCTCAATAATTATACCTAGTTAAACAATTTCTGGCTAAATTCATCATATATTGTTATTATTAGCTGACAACCAATCATTCAATGAAGAAGGGGTCGACGGGTTTCCCCACCGTAGTGTATCCATGGGTACAAAGCGGTCTGTAAACCTTGTCTATTTTAAACCAATGAATTCTAAGTAATTAATTTTTAGTGTAATTTAAAAGTTATTCATGTTTGTTATTGCATGTTCGTTTTCGATCATGAAGACCGTCCCATCTGGTCCTATTTTCAATTTAAAGGGACTACGTATAATTTTAGTGACCCTTCATGCAAAGATGGCAATATCCGATTAACAACGGTACCCTTTAAACCTATAACTGATCAATACTGTGAAGCATTTTGAAGTATTGTTAAGTATTGTATTTTTTCTTACAGTTTAAGAATGTTTCATTCTGATGATTCATGTTTTCCTACTATTCGCAAGTCACTTTTGTAGGTGAACCACAATCAAAAATTATCAGGTTTCAAAGTTTTAAACTTCATACTCAAGTTAATCGGCATTGTCATTTTTGCATGCAGGGTCACTTGAAATTACGCTTACAATCCCTTTATTTATCCTATTCTCGTCTCCTTCACCATCCCATGATTACCTTAATGTTCTGAAGCTGTGCCTCTAGTGTAGGAAAATGGAACTCTGTTGATCTATTACACAGATCAGACAGCTCACGGGTAATACCTAAACAGTAACTTTAAAGGAACTGTCAATGCAGAAACCCTCGTTAAACAATGGTTCTCTTTTTACAGTTGTCTGATCGAAATTTACGCCGATATTATTGCTTTACAATTTGAAAATTTATAATTTCAATTACAGAAGTGATCTGAGAACTCTGTTGAAGATAGAAAAACGACAATATCTTCCTCATAGTAACTCAGATAAAGGGTTTATGGGTATCTAAGGATCAGGCGTCGAACTCTTTAAAGAGTTACTTCCAATCGCTTCCGACACTAGTCAGTAGTCAGTCCTTTCAAGAATTTCTACTTATACCATAATTTTAAGGCCCCAACTAGTCTTCTCAATTTCTATATTGGAGAGCAATAAAATTACTACTCGCCAATTCATCTGAGAAAATATTGTTTCTTTCAAGAATGCAAAAATGTTTTTAATTCCTAATAGATTAAAATTCTGTAAAACATGATTTTTTTATAATAAACCTTTCAGTAGTTGACCAAAATGAGCAGACCTGAGTTGAGTTGTATCTTGCTATCTGAGAGAAGGAGTAATCCACAGAGATTGTTTGAGTAGAGTGACATACTGGTTTGCAATCTCTGGGGCAGTGCTTCCTCCCCTGATGGATATTTACACAGATCCAGGATATTTGCAGCAACCAGTCTAGTGAAATTTATTTAGTATTCCAATAAAATAAACAAAAGAAATTCAGCAAGACTTTTTAAACATTTTTAGTCATAACTATTCCCGTAGTCTAGAAGAACAGGTAATATAAAAATTTCCACTTATCTGCATTTTAAAAATGTGGTCTGCCATTTTCATCTTCGAATTTGTTCAAAGGCGACTTAGACCAATTTTGATCATTGTACGGTTGCACGTGTCTTTATTCTTTTGAATGAAATTATATTCATGTGGATCATTTGGCAACTAAAAGTGATTAAATGATACTTACAACACAAAAAAGGAAAAATCGAGAATTTTTTTAGTTCTTTTTTCAGATTAAATCCAGGCACTTTTTACAAGATAGATGAATATAAAAAGAAATTACCGTAAATTGTGCATTTGTTTCATCTGAGCCCCTAGAGTAACAGTAAAACTCTCCTGAAATCAGAAATAATACATTTTTAAAAATCTTCTAATTCCATCCGATCAAAGGGCCAAAAAATTCATATAAATTACGCTAGCTTTTCACTTTTACAATTTGGGAAAAAAATAAAATATTGATTTTTTTTCCGGGTCAGTCAGGGAATATTAAACAAATATTTAAATATTTTCCAACATAATGAGAAGCTTTATAATGTGAATATATTTTTTTATGATTTTTCGTAAAAAGAATGAACTGAAGTTAGAAAACTATCTAGTTCGTTAATTTTATTCAAGTCTTACAAAATGTTACCCTCCCCTCCCCTCACCCCATGTCCGCTGTCATGTTTTAAAATGTTTATACTTGAAGGGCGGATACTTCTGTCTGAGAGGACATAGAGAATGCTGATTCACTTCTAGGGAAGGAACCAAGATGGTGCTGAGCACTAGTCTTGTACTCTTCATGTACACACATAACCCACTAGATAGACAAAGCCGTAAGGATATTGATTTTTTTTTTCTGTATAATTACCTTGGTTATTTGATTAAAAAGTAATGAATTCCAATTAAATTATCTAATTATTTGGATGCTTCATAACCAAAATTGGGCTAAGAAACCCTTGGTAAAGTAAAATTCCCCTTGACTTCCCTGTCAAATAAAATACCACATCAAATACACTTAATTAATTTTAAATGTCGTCTTCATATTCCACATTAATCTGGTTATTATTGTAACATCTATCTAACATGATTAAACTAGCTAACCTGTCTAAACTCTGAGAACTGAGTTCTATGTAGGGTTGCCAGCTCGGATTCAAACTTAGATATAAGAAGTTCTCGTTCATCAATCTGCTGGGTGGCCAGCACATTTATTTCCTGTTCCGTCATTCCTTTACCATTCCTGATACAACACCAAATCTAAATCTAAATCTAAATCTAAATCTAAATCTAAATCTAAATTGAAATCTAAATTGAAATCTAAATCTAAATTGAAATCTAAATTGAAATCTAAATTGAAATCTAAATTGAAATTTAAATTAAAATCAAAATCCAAATCCAAATCCGAATCCAAATCCAAATCCAAATCTAATTGTCCGGTTAAAGGACCAATTTACCAAGTAAAAATGTTTAGCAATTTTGTTCTGCAAAGCTTAGAATAATTTTATTTTGTGCTGATTGCTCTAATTCAACTTTGTAAAATGAACTGGAAAAAAGCATGATTTAAATTTTATCCAATTTTTATGAGTACTATTTTCACTTACCCCTGGGATGCTGAGTTGACCGCATCAGCCATATCCTTATTCTGCCTGGCTTCTAGCTCACCCAGCCTGGAGATAAATTAATAAATGTTCAGTTTGGAGTCATAAAATCTCAGCCTCTCTACTTGAAAGAGAAATTTTAAATCAACAACATCGTTGTTGTGTACTTTGGCGCAACTGAGAATAGAAAGGGGGGGGGGGGCAAATGATAAACGTCCTCATTTCCTCTGTAAAAGTGCAACAAACCAAAAAACAGAATTCCGTAGCACGAATTTCTTTTACAGAAGCTTGCAAATTAACCCCCACCACATCCACAACTCCTTTACCTGGATGGGAGAAAGTCTTTGAATTAATTAACCAAATAATAAATAAAAAAGGCCCAACAAGAATTAAATCAAATCATGGGAATTTGCCGACAGCTTCCAAATAACAAAACAGAGGTTAAAGTCTTTCAAGAACATTGGTTTTTGATTCTCAACATGCACCTTTTCTATTGCTATAATGCTACAAACAGTTTCCAGCTAACGACTAAATAAGAGAAAGGTTGAAGAAGAAAAACTTACTTATAATCTCTCTCTCTACAAAGGGTTTCCACTGTACAAGCGTAGCTGGCCTCTAGCTGTAGAATAGTTAAAGATAAAGGAGAGTGTATCAAAGAATGGTAAACATCACCAAACACCTTAAACAAAAAAATGAAAATGGATTTCAAATGAACTATACGAGTTCGTTCATTGCTCCGAGTTTACCATTAATCTCACTTAAGAATGGAATCTTAGCTAAAGCTTAAAGTTTTCCATGAAAAATTACAAAAACAATTTTGTTGTCAAGTTACAATCTTTTCACTTAGTAGTGAAAACAAATACAATTTAAGGGACTGTTAGTTTAAAAGGGTACTGTTGTGAATTAGAAAAGACATTCTACAATTGTATGGCAGGGGTGTGTATTAGTTGTGAGACTCATATTCCCCCTCCCCCCCTTTTAGAGTCATATTTTCCCCCAAATCCACGACTTAAAAGCAGGTCTATTTTACAGGTTTACTTCGAAATTTGCTGCGGTGGGAGGGCAGAAAAATCTTTGGATTTAAGTAGTATAATGGAGCGTTTTGGTGCGCTAAAAAGGTCAACTTCAAAGTCTTACTGGTACTATTTTATGTAAGTTTTTGTGTGTGGTTTTTTCCCTTTCCTCTTACCCCTTCCCTTCCTCCCTATTTCCTTTTCTCTTCCCCTTTCACCCTTTTCCCTTCTCTGTTGCCCCTTTTCTCTTCCCTCATCCCTTTTTCCCTTCCCTCATCTTCTTCCCCTTTTCTCTTCCATTTTCCCTTCACTTTTTCCTTTTTCTCAATTTTTTCCCCCAGGGGGGGGGGAACAGAAAAATATACACCCCTGTTGGATTGTAACTTGTACTTCTAAAGTTCCTTTGACATGGCAAATATCGAGAATATGTAGTTAATTCAAAACAAAAAAAAATCCGGAGTCTATTTATTGATACCAGAAACCAAAACGATTAGAGAATATTCTATAAACTGACCTCTTCATCTCTGACCTCCGTAGGTTGAGCATATTCAAGATTCTCCTCTGTAAAGGCGGTGGTCCAGGCCTTCAAGAGTGTCTCAACATCGACATCAGCCATCTTTCTTCTGAAAACAGTTTTACTGTAGTTTGGTTGAATTTATAAAATGAGGAGAATTTAGTCTAAAACAGAGCAGAACTAACATTGATATCAAGCATCAATGAAAAATGAGGTTTGGGAGAAAGCAATAGTATTACTAGTTAGGAAAAGGAGTAAATGAATAGAATTAGAAAGGAGGAAAAAGGATGATCTGATAAGCAGAGAAGGCTGGTGATGAGAATAAATCAGTGACCGTACTTCTGGAACTCCCAGTCCCGGTTGTCCAGGGGACAAACCTAAAAAAATAAAAAAATTAATAACTCACTTAATCAATCAATCGATCGACCGTCTTGTCCATCAAACAACTCTTAATTGACAAGCAACCAACCCACCGACTTGCTAATCGACCAAACATTCATCCATCTAACCAACCAAGCAACCAAACATCCCGGCATCCAAACATCCCACCTTCCAACCAACCAACCAACCAACCAACCAACCTGTCTAGTCTTGAGCCAACGACTGATGCAGTGGAAGTGGAAAGCATGATTGCACATCCCCCAAGCAACCTTCAAAGATTAAAGATTAAAATAATGAGCTACAAACTATTGAATGAATTAGATCAACTTGTTGCATGAATGAAGAAAGATTAAATAATCACTTACTAGAGAAATCCTAAAAAGCTTTACCAATGAGAGATCACTTAAAATTTACCATTCTCCCAGATTTAGTTTAATCTTCCCGTCATGGAAATGACTTTAAAGCCTCCCGTTCATTAAAGTCAAAATAAGTGCTAATCAGCAACACTTGATCTCGATATAATCTGTGGGAACTTTAAGTTATCCATGCATGCTGGTTTCCAATATCCAAGAGGAATACATTTAATCGGAAAATGTGATTAATGCCACAAAAGTTCTGAAGTCAGATACTATAAAATAAACTAACAGACTATTAGTATTCAAGGCTTAAAAAAACTATATTTTGCAAATAAATAATCTTACCGTACACTCCTCACTGGTGGCTGAGGCTTGATTAGCCTGACACTCGATACAAAGATCCATAATATGATTCCTTAATAAAATAAAAATAAAATAAATAAATTCAATGTAACCATTTGATTTTGATCCGGATCCTGGATCCCGCCCTAAATAAAATGGATCCCGCCCTAAATAAACTGGATCCCGACCCGATCTGTAAATTTCTTCAAGATTTACTATTATGCTTAAACTTTACGAATCATTAAGAGACTAGCAAGAATTTTTAATCTTTTATTAATTCACAGTTTAAATGTGTTTTAAGCAAAAATATTTCTACGAGACTATGGTTGATATCTTGCCCTTGCACAATAATAATTTAATCAAAGGAATTGGGCCATTGTCTCAAGCTCAAAGTTTCTAAATTATATATCTTTGCAACCTTATGATGTATACCTTCGATTATGTAACAGAATTCATAAATTAAACTATCGAAATATACATTGTGTTGCAAAGATATAGGGATTAGAATAGAGTTTGTGACAAACTAACTCCTTTGATAAAAAGTGATGAGTGGATACTACGTAATTTTTCAATCAAAAACCCTCCTCACCAACAGTTGAGATTTGTTTGGAGAACAAAAGAATTCTTGTCGTATTTATCATTGGTATCTTCATTATTTGCTTGGATCCGGATCCGTGGTTAGCATATTTTTGTAGACCCGGATCAAGGAAAGTGGAAACCAAATATTGCGGATCCTAAGCACTGAAGTAAAGCTACCTGCAAATAGCACAGTTGTCTACCACAATATCCCAGGCCCAGAGTGCCACTGCATTCCACTTCTTAACTTCAAACCTCTTCTTGTCCTAATCATATACAATAATACAATAATTCAATAATACAATAATGCAATAATGCAATAATGCAAAAATGCAAAAATGCAAAAATGCAAAAATGCAAAAATGCAAAAATGCAAAAATGCAAAAATGCAAAAATGCAAAAATGCAAATATGCATAAGTACAAAAGTACAAAAGTACATAAGTAAAAATACAAAAATACAATAATACAAAAGTACAAAAATACCTTTCCCATCATGGAGGATGCTCCAGGCTGGTTCTCAGAGTCACTGTCCACCTCCATTTTTAATTTGTTTCTGTAATTATCATTTATCAACATAATTTGATAATAAATCATCAACTAAAAACTTGTACTAACAGAATTATCAACATTTTTATAGATCCTTCTTACGTTATTTTTCTCCATCTTCCTTTTACATATTTTTATATTAAAAACTGTTTCAATGACCTAGGCAATGTTGACAATCCGTTAACATAAGAAATAATGAAAAACAAAACAAATTGAGCAAAAACACGGAGATCAAAACGTTGGCAAATAACTTATTTTGGTGCAGAACAGGAAACATTAATTCAGATTCTATTTCTAACCATCCGTAAATTAAAGTGGATAAGATACTAAATAATACATAGCTTATGCATTTTTCTGATAAATTCAATAGTTATCATTTAACAGGGTAGCAGCCATAAATAATTTAGGTTATAAGTATTAATGTTTTAATACTAACTTAGTTAGTAACTTTCTAATAACCCTGCTGAAATCCATTGTTAATGGGTGATTTATAAGTTGATATCAGCTTAATATGATCATTTTCCCTGCAAGGAAAGAATGAGTTAAATTCAAAGATCTTGTCTCTGGTTTATTCTAGGAATCTATATAATAAAACAAGACATTCGTATATATGTTTCCTATAGCCGGCTAACGGCGGGACCGAATGGGCTGACATTTTTTATGAACACTCATGGGTAGCCTGGGGGTGACATAAACTAAAAAAATTCTAATATTTTCTTCAATTTTTTTTTCACGGGCAACGCTGGGCCCTTTAGCTAGTTGTTAATAAATAACAAAAATTCGGAAGTTTAATATCAGTTGTTTAGTTAACAAAAAAATGCATGACGTAGAACTGTGAATTCAGAGTATATAGAACTATATGAGGCATTTCAGAAATACTATTGAACCCGCTACTTTCTTTATGAAATTTCTTAAAATTAAATCCTGCTAAATGGACACAATAGTTTGCTCGAATCTAATCAATACTGCTACGGTCTAAACTTTTTCTAACGATTGAACTTTGTGCGATGGTTTGTGCTGTAGTTATTACTAATATAGGTGCATTTGTGCGAGAACAGAATACGATTATTAGAAAATATTTTCTGGGCTGAGATCAATCTTTCCAAACATTCTCCATTTCTTCTGGTACTAGATCCTCCAACACTATGAGCTGACCTGACCTCCATAGTTGGGTTCTATTGACGACCTCTGGACCTCCAAACCAGGAATTCTCGTCTACATAATCAGCCCCTAGTCCAGATAACCATATAGACAGAGATTTCGACACATCAGAAAAATCCGCCAAACTTTCGGAATTTCGCGCAATAAAGTCCGCCAGATGTTTTGAGAGTACAGATGATGGTGAAGGGATGGGAGGGTAGGAGACAGCTGTAAACCTGAGATCATAATCCTGAACTGGAAGGAACCGGTTGAATGACCCCCACCAGGAGGTTTCCCCAGTTAATCCATTAAGCACCTTGTCGATGTTAACCAGTGACCGGTCAGTGGTTACAAGTAGATAGTCATACGATATAGACTCTTCCATCGATGCCAAGAACTTCTAAAAATAAAATTTAATTTAAAAATAATTCATTTGTAAAATCTGAGCACGTGGCGGAGCTCAACTCTGTTTTCATTGTCTGTAGGTTGATTGTTCATAATAATAATAAAAATAAAAATAATAATAATAATAAAAATGTTTAAAAAAATAAATTTTGTAGTTATTTTAATAAGTTTTGAGTATGATATGTTTTGGAGGTTGATAAGTTTTGTTGGTTGATAAGTTTTGTAGTTTGATAAGTTTTGTAGTTTGATAAGTTTTGTGATGATCAGTTTTGTTTTGATGAGTTTTGTTGTTAGATAAGTTTTGTTTTAATAAGTTTTGTGGTGATAAAATTAGTGACAAACCTGGGACCCAAATAACAGTGTTACCTTTAAGTTAACAGGAGCAGCTTGATTGGAGTCTACTGAAGGAATAAAAACAATATCATCATTATCCTCAACTTCTATATTTACATCTTTCTCAATCTCTTTCATTCTCCGACCCTCTACCAGATTCTGTGTATCCCTTAATGTGCGCATGTATGAATTATTTCCGAAGATCTGGGAGTAAAAATTTAAAATTTTCCATGCAAACATGACTTTATCCCTCTTAAAATACATACAAAAAGCGTTTTCTTACAAAAAGTTCTTAAAAACGCAATTTTTGAGAAAATGATTGTATGTTTACTGTTTTGATTTTAGGAAGTGTAGCTTTTTTATGGGATATATGTCGAAATTAATTCTAAATATTTAGTTTTGGCCCCCTCCGCTAAAAATATGGAAACCTGGTGTCTACCTGGCACAAATATGTTGCTTGAGATCATTAGGTTCGACCAGGGAATATTCCAGGTTAACCAGGGAACACAAGTTCTCATTTTTAGGCACTACACCAGGTCCCGTCTTCTTAAACCCTGAATATTAAAATTTTGAAATATTGGCTTCTGGGATGCTTCGCGCCCTTCCTTGTGTTAAGATAAACTCCAAATTATTGCTTATATTTTAAGCCTTTTAGTATACACTATACATCATCAAAAACTAAAAACTTTTTAATTTAATTGAACCAACATTTTCTTAAATCCGACCAAAAACTACAACTGGGCTAATACCACGTTGCCATCGCCAGTAGTAGACGTATTCAGGGTATAAACATTAAACAAGCAAACAGACAACTCAAGTATACATATATAAAAATATTGGAAAAATATTTTTAGTTAAAAATGTTCGAAAAAGTTAAACCTGTGATTTGCAGAACTCCATGGTTTCCAAGCTGTGTATTGAAGGAAGAGAAACATTTCTGTTTATTTTTCACTCCTCCGGAGAGGTAGAGGAGACCTTGGAATCCAGGCCCTAGCTCCAGACCCTTCCCATCACATGGCTTAAAGGAATACCCAGAGTCTAACACCAAACTTACATCATACCATGATTTGATTGGATATAGTTATTTTTCAAAAGACANTTATTTTCAGTTGTAAGTACAAATTAGGGTTTCCAACGCAAGTAGATTTTAGTTGCACGCGAGCCCTGTGAACTCCGTGAAATTCGAAAAACAGTTGCGCACAATTCCGCGCAACGGAATTCCAATAGGAACCCCTAATATAAATGTATGGTGTAAAAATATTCCTGTTTTATCTTCAGCAGAAAATGAGATGATTGTCATCGTCTGTCCAGTATCTCGAGTCTTTAAAACCAAACTAATCAAACCAAACGACTTATACAAATGCGTTGATTAACAAATTTGAAGTGAAAACAAGTTTTTACACTTATTATATGATTAATTAAAATAATAAACTCTTATCTTTGCTTTTTGAGCTCGATCGGTTCAGATGGTTTGACGTAATGAATTATCACCTAGCACTGTTCCTTCATGTACCCAGTTTGGAACGCTTACTTCCCAGGCTTCACAACCATCTGAACAAATTAAATCTTGAATCCTATTTTTAGCTTAGTCAGTAAAAAACTAAATTCTTGCCATTTCTCCAGTTGAGCAAACATATCACTGTGTGCACTTTTAATTTGGATTTTATCGTTGATATTTGCTCATTTATTAAATTGAACATAATTGAAAATAAACTGAAATTTCTTATCAAACACAAATTTTTACTGCATCTTTGCATCCCCGATTGTACAAACCTTTATAGATAAATATTTTAAACTTTTTTTTTAGGTTCTACGCCATATAGGTAGCATAGCATAGCAAAGAAGACAATGTTCAGATGTTCAAATACTTTCAAATAATTTCCGTTTTTTGTTGTTGTTGCGAGTTCTTAAAGGACAAAACAATTTATCTTTTGGTGACAATAATACCTTGATCTATTCTCCATAAAGGGTCTATACTACAGCTGGATTCAGATACAAGAAACTTGAAAAGAACACTGCTAGGTAATGAGTTTTTCCATGTAGATCTAAAAATTCACTGATAAACAATGTCTAAAATATATATTCGGTTTGTCTCTTTCCTCGTTTTTTGTCTGATAATTTGCTTTTTTGTATCATCAACAATTAGGTCCAATTTTTGTGGTAACTGACTTAAAAAAATAGATTTGAAAAAAAGAATAAGTCAATAGGATATTCCACGAAATCTCAAAATTTATCAAATTGTACTCTTTAAATATGAAGAAATAAAAATGTTTGTAGATTAGATTAACCAGCAATAAACGTTTATCAACTCAATAAAAAGAGTGACTCGAAGCCTTGTAACCCTGATACAAAGATAGGAGTAGTTGCACTTGGGATTTAAGATACCTTTTACATTTTCTTCTAATTAAAACCAGAGTTTATTGTACTGGAGACTGGAGAGTGTTTTCTGCAGGTTTCAAGTACTATTTGATATTTAGAGTCGTCCTTAATTGTATTTTAAAAACCCAATTCCGAACTTTTAATTAAAAACATTCCTCGATCAAATGTTACTGATAAAATGCTGGAATTACCTAATAATTTTCCTATTTTGAACATTTTCTAGTCGAGATGATACTGCTATCACTAATCTAAAGTAAAAGTATTCTAAGCTGGGAACTTTTGAATTAGTTGAGTTGATCTATATCTGTGTACATGGGGAGCTTTACCGATCTACAATTGGTCAGATTTTGACTATTCGATTAAACTCTTTGCAACAAAGGGATTTCAAGATATTTCACCCAGTTGAGTCTATTCAAAAGTTCTCAGCTCTGATTACAATTCAAAAGTTCTCAGCTCTGATAACAATTCAAAAGTTCTCAGCTCTGATAACAATTTAAAAGTTCTCAGCTCTGATAACAATTCAAAAGTTCTTAGTTCTGATTAGAGAGTATAAACTGACCTCTTAAACAAAACGATTTTTGTCTTGAAAAGAACTGTTAAAAGTTAAAATTTTTGAATAAAGATGAAAGTCTTAAATAATCAAGTTAGCGGAGTTACTTGAGGCATGAAAAAAAGTTATCGGATATCGGGGTTTGTCATGAAAAATCTACTGGGTAATATTTTACCACAAATACTTAATGTGCAAATAATTTTCTAAATAAAATCATTCATATATTTTTAATTTTAACGAGAGCCTAATTATAATTCTATGAAATAAGAAGTCAACATTTAAAAAAACTCCAATTAGAACTTAAATACATGCGACTCATATTTTAAAAACTTCCGAAATATTAGTTATGTGGGAAGTTCAAAACCGTGCTAACAAACGCAAACCAGGCAGGCTTACACTGAACTGTCAAGTGTAGGTCCGAAACAAGGTATAAAATCTAAGTCAAGTCACAATCAGAATTTAAGATAACCCCCAAAAAAACAACATCAATTACTTCAAAACTTTTTACTCGAAGCCTCAATTTCTTTAAAGAACAGCAAAAAAACATAATTCTCTTACAAATTAGGTTAGGAGTAAGAAAGTTCCTAACACGGTGCGAATAATCCAATTATTAAACTCAAGTGCCAAGTTTGGGTTCTAATTGCGGTTAGGAACTTTCTTTCTCTGAAGGTACAGGAATTTTAAACAAACTTTTTAGTGACCCTAATGCAATGACTCGCATGCCCGATTCACAACGGTACATATAATTAAGCAATAAATCTGTGACTTTAAACCTAAAAATTGATAATTTCAACGATATATTCCACTTCACTGATCATATTAAAGTTTTAAGGGTCGCGTTATGAATCAGGAATGTTGGACACTTGAAATTATAGGGAGTGTCCTTTTTTAAACGATGAAATAAAAATTTCCTCAACCCACCTGTATGAATGGAAAGTATCAGGGGAAGGAAGAAGATAGAAGAAGATTGGAAGAGAAAGACCAAGGAAGGAGAAAAGAAGAGACTAGACAAAATATTGGATTAAAACCGATCAGCAAGTTTTTAAAATGGTTGAAAAGTTTGAAAAAATGCTACCTTTCTCTCGGACATTTTAATCCAACATTTTGTCTGGAAAAGTCAACTTTTTAAAATAAATTTATAGTTAGAATAAATAGAAAGATGATATATAAGTTTGTTAGTAATAATGATTAATTTAAACGTCAGTTTTACTATTTGATTTCTATACTCGGGGCTAGTGATTGTTTAAGATTTTCAAAAACAATTCCCAGCACTGAAGAAACAAAAATATATGTCGAGATTCAAGTTTGAGGCACTAACAGGTAAAAGTAAACAACCTTTAGTTTACTTTGGAAGACCAGTCTTGAGTTATAGCTAACTAACACTTCTGGATCAATGGAAGACTAGATGAGTAAAATAGCTAGTACTTATCATCAATGAAAAACTTGTATTGAGTTATGGGTGAGTATTATAGTACTCGTTTATGTCTACATCAATGGCACCTCCGAAGAAGTCTAGAAGAATGATACTAGAGATGTTGAGTTTAGCAAAATACCATCCATGGTCAACAGGCCACTCAGGCATCTCAGGGTGTCGTGAGAACAAAGCCTAAAAGATATTTCAATTGAAGTTCTTTAAAAAAAATGTTTTTAAATGGCATAACACTTACCAAACCCAAGTGACCAAAGTATTGTTAATCTTAAAAAAGTAAATAATAAATTGCAATTGATATATAAAATGATTGAATAGATAATAGTTGTAAGATAGATCAAGAATGTGATTAATTATTTGGAACTAGAATGTTAAAAGTGTATATCTTGGTGATATGTGAGTCAGGCCCTCAAATCCATCTTCCTTGATCACAATAATTACTTGCTTGATTAGGGGGTACGGGGTCATAACTCAATGCCTTGAAGAGCCAATCAAGGACTTAAGCAGCAAAGTGTATGGAGACAGAAACCCGTCTGTCCCTTATGGATTAATATCGTCCCAGGTCTGTTTTATTTAGGGAGGGGGGGGGGGGGGGGTGATGTAATTCTTGAAATATTTACCCAGTCACAATTAGGATTATATATTAATGTTAATAGTTTTGAAAAGTAATAATTTCAATTGTGGTTTCTCTACTAAAGTGACTTGCATAATTCCACTTCAGAAAATATTTTCCATCTTTGAATGGAGGGTCATTTGAAATTACACTAACAGTCCCTTTAATCAAATCTACAATATTTTCTTACCTCTTTGGCAAATATTTCTTCAGTTGAGTTTGGCTGGACTTGAACTACTTCTCCAGCCATAACAACATGAGCACACCTGGGATCCTCAGCATCTAATCCGTGCTTTTTACAGAAGGGTCCCTGGACAATCAGAATCTTTTAAGAGTGATATTAAAAGGTCTTAAAAACATTAATCTTGAAAGTTGAGATATGAAAGGTAATTATTACTTTTTATATTCAATTAATCAGTTACTTTCTGTTTGTTCATCTAGAATTAATCTGGATGAACATTAAACATTGTAAAACTTATAACACATTACAACAATACTTTACACAACACAATATTAAAATCCATAAAATCTGCCATAAATAGTAAATTTGACCGAGAACTCTTTGCCAAATAGTATCATTGTCAAAAATCTGACACTAAGTAAGGTCATACACCTATCCTTCTGGAAGTCTAAATTTATAATTTTGACTTATTTTCTTGCAATAGAAATAGCCCAAACCTGAGCAAGGGACATTGTTACAGATGCTTTAGGGTTCTTCTCCAAATCCTTAGAGGACATATCCATCCCTGTCATGTAGAAATACGGGATTCCTAGATTTGATTAGGAAACCATTAATACTTTAAAACAACTATAGAAGTAAAAGAGTAAAAGAAGAAGCAAACAAATTAGAACAATAACAAAATGAACAAATAGAATATCAACAAGAACAACAAAATTAACAATTATATTATAATATTAACAAAAACATCAAATGAAGAAATAAAATTCAATTTTGATGGAGTATTAATTAGTGAAAATGGTCCTTACCTGAGGACTTATGCTTAGTCCCATCACTGAAGCTAAAAACACTTGCAAAAGGATATCCTGTTAAAGGTCCTCTAGTAGATATGGTCGCCATTGACAACCAGTCTGAATGATGGCACAGGTATCTGCTCATCCTTAATAGTTACTTTAATTACTTTAGTCAGTATTGATGCTTCATTGGTCGAACCAAACTTAATATTGATAATAATAAAAAAGGGGGAGAGGTACAGGGTCAATTTTCAATTTTTAATGCCCCAAAAATCTTTCACGGTGTGTTTTGACTTACAAAACTGTAAATTTAGGGTTGGGAAATTGCACACAAGGTCATGATTTAGTTTGATTGAGTAAAGATTTTTTTCTCTACTTATCTAAAGTTGTTATGCGTTATCCAATTATGTATTCAAGGGAGGACATTATCTTTTAAAATCTTATTCACAGGGAGAGGGTGGTATGGCAATTACTTACTGAACACCATTGCCGAAACTTTTTCTTAAAGTACAAATAAAAAAAATAAAACTGTCGCTCTTCAATCCATGGAAAGTTTAGGGAAGAGCCCTAGTCCACCAAAGTATGTGGGTTAAACATACTGAATGCTGATATACCTTGAAACTTCAGTATGTGGTGGAGGTTCGGGAAACTCCTCTGATTCTGTTAAAATGGATAAATCACTTTCATCACTTATTAAACTCATCACATCACTTTCCGCCATAGTTAGATATTTATCTACATCAGAAATTTCATTTCCAAAAATGTTTTGAGTTCTCTGTGTGCTTTTACCATTCACCATATTTAATAAAAAGCAGAGATTAATTAACTTCAAAAACATTTTTCTGCAAAACTTTTGTTTATGTAAATCTGAATGTATTATGGCAGGGGTAATATATAGTTAATCTATTTTTATTATTATCATTCAACCTACAGCTAAAGTTTATATCATGTCCTGTAGGTTTTCAGCAAAAAAAAAAAAAAATATAGTTGTGCAATTTCCACAAATGGGTGTTGGGTCATTCCATATGTAAGAGAATTAAAAAAATGACAAATTTGTTTTCTTAGGTTTTAAAAATAACTGTATAAAATATATTAAGAAAGATAGTTTTGGGAAAAGAAAATAATTAACCCTATCTGTGAAGAATCTATTTTGTCTATGAAATGTTCCAATATCACAAAAAGGGGTTATTTTAATTAATACATAATGAGCTAAAAGTTGCATTGACTTAGAACTTTGAAATAGGATCTTGACTGAAAGGCACACATGATTAATTATTGTACATAAGTTTATTATATTAGAGATATATTAAGCTATTTATTGGCTGATGCAAGCAAGTTCTATTTAACGAGAAAAAAGAGGCGTAAAAAAGAAGTTTATTTTAAAATAAATAGCTCTCATCTTTTATTTGATTTTGTTCCGTGTATTTTGTATTTATTCATCAAAGCATTATAGTAAAAAAAAATTTTCTTATGAAAGAGTTTAACATTAATATATATATTACGTTATCGAAATATGCTCAATTGTAGAAACAAATCAATAAATAAAGTCCAATAAATTCTGGTAAAACATTCTCAACTTCCTCCCAGGTCCTCAAAAAATGTGTTGCTTCAAGGGACTGATAACGCAATTTCAAGTGAACCTCAGTTTAAAGTTTTACATTCACAACTATACTTTTTAACATTTCTCAGATTAAAGATAGAGAAGGTGTGGTGTGGTCCATTTTCGTCTTAAAATATAGATTCTCACAACCCCTTAGCTTCCTCTTCTCTATTGCACATATACGCAATGAATTAATCAATTTTTTGATGGAAGTAAAGGGAAAACTCATTTTATTTGTTAAGACAATGGTTCTCTAATGAATCGGACATGCAACTCTACAGATAAAGGGACACCTGAAATCGGTGTGAGAGAACCTTTAAACCCAGAATTCTGGAGTATTACAAGTTTTAAGATTAAGCCAAGACGGTCTAGTCCTGGGAACCCTAACATCAGGGGGTTTTGGAGGACGGGTTAAGGGTACAGTAGGACAAGTTGGAGGCCCAGGAGGACAGGTTGGGAGCACACGAGGACAGGTTGAGGGTAAAGGAGCTGAGCAGTTTGAATGTTCTTGTCTGAAGGTAGACCTTTCACAATTGAGGGTCGAGTTCATCTTGTTCCTCGGTCAGTTTTCTGAACTTAATCCTCTACACAGCACATTATATAATCAATACTAGACCACTCCAAGACAAAAAATTTAAGTGTAAAAAATAAATCAATAATATATGATCCTGATTCATTGAATTCGCAATATTTTTGCTCCCTAAATATGAGGATTTAAAGATATAGATATAGAACGTAAAGCAGCAAATTAAATAGACAAAAACCAAATATTTGCTCTGAAAATACAAATCCCAAGTATTCAGTAATAAAAAATTGGTAAACCCTCCTTTGTAAATATTTTTCAGAATATGATCTGTAGAAAATTTTAAAAATAGTAATAATCCTTTTCTATATCACAACATTTAGATTTAGTGAATGTTTAATTGTTTATATAAAGTTCCTTATAAGAGGTTCTAGTTCTACAGGTTCCTGTTGATCTCTACCCTCTGTAATATTTCTCATCTGGAACCTGTATCCAGAAGCTCCAGCTAAAAAATAACTTCCATATCAAGGATACAAACTAAATGACAGTTTATTGGATTACCGGATTTTTTATCGATGAAAATCGCTATTGTTATTAACATTGTCAGCGCGGTCAGTCAATGCAACTTTCTTGTTTCAGATGATAAGTGCACAGAAGTTCCATATTCAACCATTTAGAGACAAGACAATTTTTCAATATTTCAGACTTGGGTTTTGATAGTAAAAAAGTTTTTTCTTCTTCAGTTTTTAGTAGATATTTTTCTTCTTAAACCAGGGTCCGTGGATTCTCATATTTTTGCGGACCCGGATCCGGGATCTAGAAAGCCAAAATCTTGAGGATTCAACGGATCCGGGTCCTAAGCACTGGTTGCATCCAAATAAATACAAATAAAATTGCTCGAGATTTAGTACATATCGCAATCAAATTAGAAAAGGCGTTTAAATGCAACTTTTTCTAGATAATGTGAATACTGTGATAAGTGATAACTCACCTATTGACGGTCTTTTATGTGCATTTCTGTGTTGAATATTATGTAGATAAAGAACTGACATACTCATGTCAGCTGCAGCATACTCTAGGCCTAGAAATGTCGATAAGATGTTTTAAACTATGTGTAGGTTCTCTTAAGGGACTATATACGTGATTTTGAGTGACCCTCCTTTAATGGGGTGGTACGGTACGGTACCTTTGGCTGCATAATTGATTCATTATCTTCAATACATTATCTCTATACAAGTGACTAGCGCAATGTTTCAACAGCAGAAATAGGGGGAAAGTTGTCAGAACTCAACACTCAGACAGAAAAACGACGATATTTTCCTTATTTTTGCAAAGATAGGGGTTTTTAAGGTACCGTTATGAATCAGATATGCACTCTTTTAATGAAGTGTTACTTAAAACTACGTTTTCAGTGCTTTGAACGGACTGAAACTTTACGAAAGTAATGTTGGGCCTAAATTTACTCGTTTTAAAGCTAAAATTGCAATTTAAATTGGTTTTTCTTACATTTATGCAATAGGTTTGCTATGTCTGAATTATACGTTTGAATGTACAGGCTTTTAGTTTCTCTCTGTTTTAGAGTTCAAATTTTATAATTCTGATAAAAAACATAAAAGCAATTATGAAATGTAGAATTTTAGTTCACTCAAAAACAATAATCACAAACGGATTAAAAATTATCCCCTGTCCGATATTTATATGTCTACCTGTGATTTCAGGTGGGGGTAGTCCTGAGTGTAGAAGGGAGGGTAAGGATGGCTGGATGGGTTGACGGGACTGCATCAAGGAGGGGGAGAATAATCGAGACTCAGAAAACGACTGTGAGGAGTAGAAGGGCATGGTGGGTCCACCTCGTCTGTGTATTTGACTGGTTTGAGGGAGTTGGGTTGAGGGGCTGCGTAGAGACTGGTGCTGGTCGCTGGAGTCGTGTAGAACCTCGCTCGTCTACAAGTAAAATGCTTTTTCTTATTTCAAATTAAAAAGCATTATTTTAGAATGGTTGATAAATTATCACCCTTTAAACCTACGAATATCGCCCCGTGATAAAAACTTTGGAAATGACCTGTGTATCTGGAGGTGATGGGACGGTATGAGGGGGTGGCGAGGGGACATGTTGCCCCCCATGAAGAACCCGTAATGCCACCTCCCTGTAACTGCCGCCCATCTCTGACATGGCTGACACGCTGTCGTACAAAGGGTTACTGTGAACACTCTGCTCTGGTAGAGTTGATAACTGGTTTACATCACGCTCCGCACAAGTTCTACAATCAATCAATCAATCAATCAATCAATCAATCAATCAACCAACAAACCAAAAAACGAGTACAGTGTCTTATTAACTCTAAAGCAGCCACGGTCAGTAATAATTTTAAAATGTACGCATCACTTTACAGTCTACAGTACCCGGCCCAAGAGGAGTAAAACGACCTAAGTCTCGTATTGTACTTTTACCTCAGCCCACAATGAGACTATCCTTGAAATAAAAACATCCAAAAAACTAATAAGAAGTGACCAGAGACAACTCTAGCTAGTAAAAACTAGCCATTTTGTATTGCAAAAGTTTCTAGTAAAAAAATTTGTTATTTCCCGAAAAAAAATCTATCTTTTCAATAAATAAGAACGTGTTTAAAGATAATTGTTCAGAAAACTGAATAATCCCTTTAATGATAGATAGATACCTGAGCCCTGTCAGATATTTTTCTGACTCAATGCTTGGTTTCCAGCCTGGGTTTGTTATTGTGAAGTGAACCAGGGACATTTCTGTCTTCCCATCCTCGCCCTAAACAAACATTCAGGGGTAAATATTTGTTGAAAAATAAACAAAGTGATAAATTAGCAACAATCCAGAGGATAAAATGCCATGCGTACGACAGAGATGGTGCTGTTTGCACCTTTTTTCAAGACCTCAAAATTTATACCTGCCTGCATATCTATATATATATTATCTTTGATTATATTTTATTAACGCAAATTGAGGAAAATAAATGATCAGGTGCGGAAAAACTTCAAGTTCTCATTTACCCCTTAATACATAATTCTTAAAAATATACATAATATTCATCCCTGAAACTTAACTAGTATACCTGAGTATACTGGTTGGTTTTAGCTACAGGTTGAATCTCCTGCTGGCTAGTTTGACCGGCCTGCCAGCCGGGGTTACCGTGCCGGCGCACATCCATCTGCGCAAAGCTACAGACGTCACCGACCCCAACCACGTCGACAGTAAAGTTACGGAAAAAGTCGACAATATCCTGAGATTTGTACCTAAAATAAACAAAATAAATTTATTCAAGGTACAAATAAGGTCAGCAAGGTCAAAAAAGGGACAAAAACGGTAAAAAGACTGAAGCAATCAAAAAAGGTCGAGTGCGTCGAAAAAAGCTAAGAAATGCGGTCAACAAGGTCAAATATGGACGATAAGGTCTAAGACGGTTAACACGGTTAAATGCAGCATGTAGGGTCAAACAAAGTCCAATCCAATAGGTAAACGTATGTCAGAACATCACACACAAAGTTGATGAATATTCTGGAAATATCAGTGCAGTGTACTATTAAGTAGAATTACCTAAGCTGGAAGATAAGTATTAATGGAGTAATTACAGGAGAGAATAGTTCATCTAGAAGATAGACTGCAGTATAGGGGAACAGTAATCCCATCTCAGTCATAACCTAGATAAAATTAACACTATACAATGAACAGGAAAATCAGCAAGGGATGCGTCTTAACATTTTTAATTTGATTTTAAAGAAGAGATACACAGACTAAAGGGAAATCAGCTATTCTTTGTTATTCGGCGTTTACTTTCTAACCTTAAAGCTAATGTTTTTGCAATTTCAAGTAGCACATCATTTCAAGATTCCATGCTCCTATCACAATAGTCAAAGTGAATAAATACTAAGTGGGCCAAACTCATAGTTGGATGACGACATTTGATGTCCCAAGTATTTGAAAATAACATTGCAGGGCCCTTACAATCTGTTTGTACGGAGTGTACAGTACAAAATTAACTGGACTTCAGTTTGTTTACAAACTTTCTCTTCTTTCTCGGAAAATAGATAATTTTCAATTGAAGTTTTACTATAAAAATGATTTGCAAATTTATGCTTCAGAGAAAATTAAGGAAATTGTAAAAATTTAACGCGTTCAAGGATCGTAACAACAAAATCTTTGGATTGTTACTCTTATCGAGGTTTTAGGGAACCATTGTGAATCGGACATGCCACTTCAAAATGGCGGGTTAAATGAAAAGACCTCTAAATTTGTTTCTACCTTATATGTGTGAGCATTTCCTTTCCAGTCCTCCGGGAAATAATGAATATGGGAGATAACTTGGGTTAGGGTCTTCTCAGGGCAGAATACAAGATTCTCATCTAACAATAATATAAGGAACATAAGGAAATAGAATCTATAAGAGACCCAAATATGGACCCCCCCAGAACGCCACCAGGTGTGGTAAGCACCATCCCACACCTGTTCCGTCCGGATCTTTAATTTCCGGTACTTCCGGAGGTTGGCAAACCAATTAAATCTATTTGTTGCTTGTTATCTGACAACCGTTTAGGTGAAGCATTTAGGTTTACTGGGATTTAAAGTGATCCTGCTGGGAACATCCAACGATCCAGGATCAAGTTTTGTTTGTCAGCTTGTTTCAGCAGCAATACTTTAGAGGCATTGAATATGTAAGTAAAATTGAAAATAAAAATACTGGAAATTCCGCCAAAATTTGAAAATATTTAAAAAGGCCGACTTTCAGAACAAAAGTTAAAAGCTAAAATGATTTACAGGAAAAGGGATGCGAAGCGCCCTAAAATAGTACAGGAGTCCTAAACCCACCTGGAATAAATACTCTTGCCCCAGCAACTGCTGCACCTAGCGCAGTCATGATGGTAAGGACATGTTCAACATTGAGGACGTCCTCATCCCACACAGAGAGTAGAATAAGCACAGCGAGGACGCTCCCACACATAAATGTTACATTCTGCAGGACAAAAACATCTCAAGTCAAACATATTTTGCATCCAAAGTCCCAATTTCTCAACTCCATAATCCTATTATTCGATCTAAGATAGGAAGAACTGATTACTCGGCTAAAACTCAAATTTTCTATTCCTAGGATCTTTGAAACCTGATGTTCTAAACCTATTGATGTTTGAAACCATGACTTATGCTAGATCAGATATTTTAGGTTTAAAATATCTATGGTTACAAAGATATACGGATTTAAGACTAGAATTTGAGGCTAGTTATCAGTTCCTAAGAGGAAAAATGAGATAATTGTACTACTTTTGGCAATTTTATTTTCTTCTTTAGACCTATCCAAAATTCATCTCATCTCAAACCAGTAGTTATTCCTCTTTATATTCACAATTTTTCAATATTAGTAAAATGTTCTATTTATCCTTCCTTGGCTACTACAGTTGCTAGAGGAGAGACGAAGATATCCATGTAGTAGCTCGCTGGTTTATAAGCTCTGAGGATTACATCAACTTATCAGATATATTGGGAAACTACAATCTTTAAATAGTACAAATCAAAGTAGAGAACTAAGGTCGAATAAAATCTTCAGATTGTTTTGTTTTAGTCGGGCTCTGAACTTTATATTTATGTAGGAAAATAAAAAATTTTAACAGTGTTAATCAAACTAGATAGTGGTCTGAAATCAAATACAATCTGGAGATTGTTCTTGAATTTCAGTCGGGCTCTGAAGTCGATATTCATGTAAGAAAATACAATTTCTTAACAGTTCTGAAGTTAGACACTAGAGCACACTCACAGATACAACAAACAGTGGTATATATTTTCTTGAAAGGTTAAATCACTTCGACAAAACTCAGCAAATCAAGTCTTAACTTTTAAAGTTAGAGTTGAGACTAAGACATCGCGGCCCATGAACTTAAAATAAAATCACTGAAAATAAGATAAAGTTGATTCCTCCCTGGCTAAACGTGCTGATAGTTCGTGTTCAAGTTCATTAAGATGACGTAGATAATATCTACCGTAGAGACCCCACTTCCGTACACCCAGGCTTCCTGGCTCACGCTTTATCACTTCTAATAAATAATCGGAAATATATATTTGCATCAACATCCCCCCATACTTCCTTCTTTCCCCCCTTTACAACTAAAAGCGACTGTAAGCATAATTTCAAGTAACTCTCCATGTTGAGATCGCAAATTTCTGACTCACAATGGTATCCTTAAAAACTTTATCTGACTCGAAAAGTATTAACTCCCGATAATTTATCCAGTCTTTCTTATAGAAATGCGCAAGTCACTTCTGCAGAAAACTCACAAATTAACAGTTTTCAAAAACAAAAACATGGAGTTATAGTTTATACTTGATGAAGCCAACAATTTAAGGGTATCGCTGACAAAACAAGCTTTGGACGAGGTTCAAGTCAAACCCTTCAGACGAGCAAAGCAGAGTAAAAAGAACGATTGTCTATGACTTTAATTTACTAATCCATAAATCTTTGAAACCTGATATTAAAGATCTATTTCAAACTTTGAAATTAGCAAGATCTAAAAGAGGTTTTCACCAGAAGGTTTCCAGAAAGAGGATTTAGATAAAAAGTTTGAGGCAACTGTTCATCTCTTTTAGAAAATAAAAACATTTAATCAAGATTTATTTTATTCTAACCTGCATAACTGAAGAAACTGTACAGGATCTGCCAGAGAAGGATTAAAGGCATGAGGATAAGGTTGATACATCCCAGGATTAGAATACGATTCTGCAGCATATCCGCTAGTTCTTTCCGTTTAGCAACGCGCTTATATTCTTCACGTAGATGCCACTGAAATTAATAGTAAATAAATGGACGTAAAACATTGTAAAAATCCCCCTTCTCTTCAATATAAAAGGAATGGTTGTAATTTTAGGGCGAGAACGAGGTGAACAGGGGGGGGGGGGCCCTTCCACGAATAGGAAAACCTAGCAGATATATGTAAAACTAGGTTGAAAACCCAGCGTTGCCCTAAATGGAACTTTCTCTATAAAAGTTGACCCACTTGACCAGGCTAAGAACATTCCCCGTGGTTCTACTGAGTTCCCAATCAAAATTTGAGACAAATCGGTTAAGGGGGTTCATGAGATATGAACAGACATACAAACAAAACAACAGACGAACAAACAGAATTTACAACTTTGTATATATAGTTACTTATAAATGAATTAAAAAAGGGAAATGTTGGCAGTTAGAAGTACCATGCTTAAGTTTCCAAAACTTAAGTTAATTCTTTTTAGTATTAACATTAATTTTCACCTGATTATATGGAGCCCAAGGGGACTTGAATAATATCAACTCCAAATTAAACTTGAGACCAGAACTAAAATCAGAAATAATTATTTTCAATTGTACATTTTTTTTCCATCAGGCTCTGATCGTGAAAGGACCCCTTGAAGAAGAATCCATCAAACCACAAGCCGAAACTTGTTGAGCATTTTACGTTTTAATTTCCCCGTTTTAAAGCAGAAGTAACCACAATGATAAAAGAATGTAATTTGTTATCTTTCTTCAGGCTCAACTCCCCCCCCCCCCATAAAACTGTAGATATTCTTAATAGTTACCTCAGAAACGAGGCCTTTTAACCTGATACTGGTGTCATGAGCTAGTAGGTACGTAAGGAGGAAAGTAAAGGGAGCAATCCTTTGTTTATCCATTTTAGGTTTCATTTGAAGGAACCACAATGTAACCAAAACTTGATATGTAACCATTCTACTACCCCCCCCCCTTAATAATTGTGCCCAAGTACGATGCAATACCTGAGGAAAACGTAATCTCCGATTACTGGAATAGAGAATCTGAGTGGGAGCAAGGACTTGTTTATCATGGAGACAAGGTAGTTGTTGAACCTGAGGATACGGTGATGAACATCAAGTTCCGTCAACTCCTCCTTTATCAGAACAAGTTGAACCCCTGTTTCTGTATCTCTTTAACCCCCCCCCCGTCAGACCTAATTCAATTTTCAAAAATCAAAGGGACTGAATGCAACTTCAAATGAGCCTCCATTTTAAGTGATATGCCTGATCTTTGGTCTTAAACTTCACCGACGTTTAAATCCTTTTAAAAGAGGAACCATTATTGAAAATGATCAAATTCAGATATAAAAATAAGGATATCTTAAACATTTACCTTTCGTTAGTATCCTGTCAAATATTTTGAACTCAAAAATGTATGTACTTTTACCTTATGAATACACATCATATGTTCAGACTGTGCAGCTTGTAACCGACTCTGAACCTCCCACCAGGTTATTGAGTCTAAATCCTAGAAAAAAAATTTTTTTTTTAAAAAACCAAAAAATATTAGAACAAAACAATATGATTTAAAGCATGTCCTTTCTGTTTTATTTGGAGAGGGGAAGAAAGAAATTGCGAATTTCTTATGATATCCAAGGATCAGGGGGTTGAGAAACAAAAACAACCTTGAATAGCCAAAATATAAAAAAAATTCAAATTTTATTATATCGGTTTGTTTAGTCAAAAGTGAAGAATAAACTATTTCAACCACAAAATACTTCTATGCTATACAGATTTCCTAAATATTAATAGAAAAAGCTACTAAAAGACTATACCTTATCTGATATTTTGAGCGCAGTGTTAAAGAAAGATTTGACGTCCCAGAACTGAAACCCATGGTAGACGACAACTAAAAAATATGACTAAAAATATCTTTAAGGGATTGACGACGTGATTTCAAGTGATACCCTATCATTACTGATTTACAATGGTAACCATTTACCGGACTCACAATTTGGAAGATATCGTCATTCTTCTGATTTAAAGGGAGTGACCGGCAATGAATGGTGGCAGCATTGTAGTAAATCTTTTTAGGATTCAATTGAGACATTTAAAACACTTCCACGATGAAAAATTACTGAGTTTGAGTGCAAAGTCGACGTTTAAAATCATGAATTTGGGTGGGTACGTTTTCAGAATTATTAAATAACGGTGACGAATTAAGTAAAAATTATACAGTAAACAAATTAAATGTTTAGGAACATATTTATCAAAAGAAATTTGTCAATAAATCAGTGATAGAATCAATTATTTCGTTTATCATTATATTGAATTTCTTATTTTTTATGAATTTGTTCGCATGTTTCTACAAATTCTTCAAATGTCGTCTTTTCAATACAAATTCCAGAAAATCTGCAGAAAATCTTTGTGAATAATGAGAGATTAAAGAAACTAATAATTGAATGAGATTACTCATTATTTAATCAACCTGTTCCTAAACAAATATTTAGCTTCCTATGGAATTTTGTTTACACATTTTTTGTCGTCGTTATTTAATAATTTTAAAAAAACTATTCTGAAAACGTACCCACCCAAATTCATAAGTTCGAACGTCGACTTTGCGCTCAAACTCAATAAATGTAGTGGTAGAAACGTTTAATATGTCTCAAGTGAATCCTAAAAAATTTGTCCAAAATACTACATCTTCAGTTCAACCACCATTCATTGACAGTCACTCCCTTTAAAAACATAAAAATTCGCTTAATTGCCTTAATTTTCACTACAGCATAAAGACTCCAGTAACTTTTATAGAGAACTGAAATAGAAATAACAGATTTTCAGACAGAAGAACAACAAAAAATTATAAGTTTTTCATTGAGAATCTTTAAATAAAAAGTAACTTTGCGTGTCTGTTTGTGTCCAAAAAACGTAAAAACGGCTGAACCGATCGAGACCACGTTTTGTGTGGGACATCACGTGACCCCAGGGAAGGTTTATGAATGATCAAAAATTCAAAAATTTTCCTCCAAATAAATTTATTCTCATTAAATTTAAAATATCTACGATTTTTTAATCCGCGAATTTTTTCTATTATCATTTTTCACCGTATAAGAAAATGTTTACTATTGAAACGGAAGATAAGCCTAGTTAGAAATAAGAGGTTAAATGCAAAAGTCTTGTTTACATCAACAGAATCCTGCAAGTTACCTATAAGTCTAGTTATCCAACAAGCTACTGAGGTCAGTATGAAGCATTTCACGAAGAACGCCATCTCTACGAATCCTTTCAAAACTATCACTTCGCTGATAAAAACTTTCTTACCCTACTCAATATGGATTTTAATACAAAATTATATATTAAACCTACGAAGGTGTCGTAAGTCTTCATGATCTAATGGAACATCGTTATTTTCAATAATGAATTAAACCCAAGTTTCCGCAAGCATTGAAAGCTGAAACCTTAAATGGGATTGTGTGAATATGTTTAGTCGTGTCGACTATGTTGATTAACTTTGGCCCCTTGACAATTATTTCTCACCAAAAATAAATCAAAATATTTGTCTTCAATAATTGTTAAAATTGTGTGTTTATAAATCCATATTTTCCTGTTTCTCTGGATCATTATTAAAAAGAAGATTATAGTCGATACATTCTAGAAATTTATTTTCTCATCCATGGTTTCAAAAAAATGTGATAAACATGAAGATGGGTTGACTTCTGAAAATATTATTAAGAAAAATTGTTGGGAAGTGAGAAAGTAAAAACATATTTAAGATGTTTGAGTGGAAAGTGAACACTTATTAAGATATTCACGTAAGGACGTAAACACGTATGAAATATATGTGTGAAAGGAATTTTTCTAGACAAGTTAAAGTGATACGTTTAGAAATCTCTAGCGCACAAGTTTCTTGTCTAATAAAAAAACTGCCGATATGAAAATATGAAAATAAATTTCCCTGTCATGAAAACTGTAAACATAATTATAAAAATAAACTGCACAAGCTCCAAATATTCCTGAAAACATCAAAATTAGTAAAAATTACATTTGAAATATTAACAGAGCTGAATACTTCCGTGTTGGATACTAATACCCCCGATCGCTTGATTTCGATATCCACTCTGGGCAATTGTAATGTAAGGATCAATGCTTAATCTATTGATTTCATTTATTCGTCTCCTGATCAAAGCTCTGATCAACCACTGATTACCGTGCGGGATATCAAATAAGATTAAATTAATTTACCGATTAAAAAACGGTCGAAATCAAGCATTGATCTCTATATCCTCAATACCAGAGTTCCCAGCTCAGGTAAAACAGATTTATAAAATAGTTTTTATAAAAGTTTTGTAGCTTACAAAACACATTACCTTGTTAAAAATAACATTAAAAAAAACTCTGCGACTCGTAAAAAAGTTGCACCTGTATCATCATTACGTAGAATCCATGTTTCTGATGGTATTCATACACTTTGATGAAAAATGAGTCGAGATCGTCTAAAAACACAAACATGCAATACTAATTCAGTTTTCAACATTCCAATTAAATTATTCTAACCAGGCTACCCCAGGCGTGATGAATATGCGTATCGATAGGGGGAGTGATGATGGGTGGGATTGCATGGGGCAGGGAACTACCCCAGCGATCTTCTTTAGATAAATAAATTCTAAATGGNATGTTGTCAAATATTAGGGAGGACCCTAGGAAAGTAATTCTTGACAAAACCGGATTTCTTTTGCTCTTTCTAAATGATTGTTAAAACATAATTGTTAGTAAAATACAAGAAATTTTGAGCATAAAAAATGTCGAAAACCATTAATTGAGTTATTGAATGTTTCCTATGTGACTCCATTTAGATTTCCCTGTCTCTGTGACAACATGAATCATTACTCCGGGATCATTTCCAAACGGAGTCTCATTCTCAGCACCCTTAAACGAGATTAACAATGTAATGTCAATATGTAACATTAAAAGATATACAGGATTACCTGCAAAGGATGAGACCGTAAAGAGGATCGGAAACTATTCAAATATGAGGATACCAAAGTTGAAATAAGTTTTCTGCCTTGAATTTAATCTTTTTACGACTTATCAAATGATTAAGCGGTGGTGTATTTTTCGACCTACGCAAATCCGCTTTACTCCACTTCTGACCTACGCAAAATCCGCTATACTACACATCCGACCTATTAGCACGTGGTCTTACAGCTGTTATATGGACTTGTGGCCGCAGCACCCGACCCCCTAGCCTGTCCTAGCCGCAGCGCTCGGCCCCCCCTATCCTGTCCTAGTCGCTTCGCTCGGCCCAGAAATAATACAAAAATAACCAGCTGGCGTAGGTCCGATATAAAAGTAGGTCGGAAAGTTAGTAGGTCAGAAGTTTAGTAGGGGCGATGTCGCGTATAGACGATGTAACATTACCGATTTAGCAAAGAAACCAAGTTTACATGTGCAGGGGATCTTGAATAAATGAACAGACAATATAAATTCCGTACAATCGTCTCTGAAGTCTCACTCTTTGTGAGTACCACTGTAAGTTAACTTTTTCAACTATTCTAGCCAAATATGTGATTTCAACACGCAATAATTAACAAATATCCCACTTAGAGTAGTAACTTCTGCGGTATTTTTTTCAAGCGGTCATCACCAAAGCTGCCTGAACAAACCCTTCCGCTAGTAACAATTTATACGAAAAAAAGTAGTATTCATAAGTTTAACTTACCCCAACTCTGTTGGAATGACTAGCAGTGTTGTTACGGGTGCCTGAATAAATAAATGTTTTAAAATACTTTTTTTGTACGCTAAGGACTCGAGGAGGCTTAACATTGGCGTATTTGATTCACCGTCATTTTGCTTAAACTGCATAAGACCATCGAACATAAAGGAAAATATCGGGAGTCCAAAAATCGTTCTCTGGGAAATTACCCGTCTTTTTCTGTCCTTCAGGTAATGTTTTCTTTAGAGGTGGGAGAGAAATCGACTTTATTTCTTAAGAATAACAAAGAGCAATAAAGACCGTTTCACGTCAACAAACCAATATTTTTTCTTTTAAACTCAACTTACCCGTTGAAAAATTTGGAGGCGCCTCATCCTCTTCCGACTCGTTGGATTCGTCGACGAATGGCCGGTAAGTTGTGTGAAGTTTATCTAAGTCTGTTTTGACCCCCTCCATTTTAGGGTTCGCAAAATTTACAACATTTTTCTTTACGAATATAAGGGATGAATTTACAATAAAAAGTAAATCAAACAAAGACGGGTCTGCTACATAATATAACACATCAAATTTTTACAAAAAAGTAAATCACTAACATGGATTATCAAAAATGAAAAAAAATTCGCTACTAAGCTGCAAAATTATTATCAGCTCAGAGATGAATCGTTCAAATTGTATTTTGACAAAGCTCTGATAATGCGCAGTATCGAAGAGCTTGCCGCGTCAAAATTTTGAAACATTTGCCAAGCGAAGACGACTTTTGACAAAAGAAATTTTCAAAGGTATTGTTACTTCTGTTCTACGGCATTTTCGTCCTACGATACTTCGGACCTACGATAGCTGGAAGTCGGATGTACAATCTATTTAGTTAATACGACCAACACAGGAACTGCAGATTGTCAATATGCAGTTAACAGTGCTACCATAAGGATAGATGATTCACTTGCACCTCTATGTCAGACACAGATTTTGTAGGTCGGATGCACAACTTAATTTGTTGTTAGGTGAAAACATTTATTGTGCGTCCGACCTACAGAATTGAGTGCAACCAACCTAAGAAAGCTGTTCAATCGACCTTCTTGCATTCGACCATACTGATGTTAAGCTTCCGACCTAAAAATATTGTGCATCCAACCTATAGCAGAGTGCAACCAACTTAAGAAAGCTTTTCAACTGACCTACAGCAGGTCGGATACACCAACTTTTTAAAGTGTGTATCCAACCTACAGTACATCAGGCCAACAGCAGCTTGAAGCTGCTTACCACGTGCGGGTAGGTCCAACTTGTCATAGAACAGATGTAATGTTGGGCGGATGTAATACAATCAAGATAGACTGAAATAAAAATAATGTAATATCATTAAACTGAATTGAAGGATGAGATTTATGTACATAAAAGTCATGATAACTTTTTTAGACATGAATGCTTATATCGGGTTACAGGAACAACTTTAAAAGATTACTGCTTTAGAGTCTGCAAAAGTTGCTTCCCATGCCCTGTTTGCATCGGTACCCTAGCAGCCAGGCCATGAACCGCAGTTTGTTTAGGAAGAGGAGTAGTGCTCCTGTCTTCATTCTCTAATGGAAGAGGAGTGGTGTTGCTGTCTTCATTTTTCAGTGGTGGAGGATCGGTATTGCCGTCTTCATTCTTTAATGGAGAACTAGGAGCTGAAGGCTTCTTCGGTGGATGTGGAAGGCCTTATTTTTTTTAAATAAGTTGATTTAGACTTGAGTATACTATCTTTAAGGCTTTACCCCTCCCTTAAAGGGAGTGTTCGTGAAAAATGAAAGGTGGTATAGGCTTAATGCGATAAAAAAGCGCTTTAATTCCTGGAAAATATGAAAATGTCGTCTTCATTATAGAAAATCCTCGAAACAGGAATAAATGTAACTCTCAGATCATGAAAAATACAAATTATTATGAAATATCAACTATTTACGAATGCGTCGAAAAATAATCGATGACTACTATTTGTAATATATGAATGATTTGTTTGGAATTAAATAGATTTTTTTACGATCCGAGTTGAATGAGTTGAATGTTGAATCTTTCTGAATTTGTATGGGCGCTGCGTTCTTCGGTATTAGTCGTTGATAACAATTTTCTCCTTATAGACGCAATAGATAGAAGTAAGATTAGCCGCGATCAAAAGCGCTTTTTTATCGCATTCAGCCTATACCCCCTTTCATTTTTCGCGAACACTCCCTTTAACAAATCGTAGATTTTTCTTTCATTTCATACAGTCGTCGTCGCATAAATCAATGACTTTCAATTTCAATTTTGGGTTATAACAAGCTTTTGAACAGCTTGGATAAACATTAACATGGAAACAAAAAGAAGGGGTCAAATAAAAAAGCTTCTCTTTGTTTAATTGTAAACTTGTATTTCGAAAAAACGTGCTTAAAATCAAAACTTAAATAAAAAACGTCTTTATTGTATTGATATAATCGCCGACCATTGTAGGATTTTTTCAAAATTGAATCAAAGAGAAGAGAAGAGATTCTTGTGACAGAGAATGAATCCCCCCTCCCCAAAAATTATGGTTTCACAGATATTTAATTGACCATAAAATTAAAACTAACATAGATATTGGAAAACCAAAATTTACATACCTGGGCAGACATAGTAGTAGAGAGATTTATGCCCACAGGCAACTACGATGATGTTGACCAAGTAGATGATTGCTATAATCAGGAATATTGTGAGCCCAACCGCCCTGAAATCAAAGAACTCAGACAAAAAGATATTTTTTATCAAACTCTGATTTTGTTATTCCTATATCTTAGCATTCTGATGTTTTAAATAAAAAGAGTTTATTATGATAAAAATCTGAGGATTTAGCATTCATATAAATTAAGATTATACATTTTAAATTTGTCATATTGGTAAAAACATATCCATGCTTATCTATTACTATTCAGTAATCTTTGGATATAAGGTATATACATGTTCTCCTTAACCTCTCAGTCCTGGCTTGAACAACTGTAAACAAATTCTGTTCTCTAAGGTTATGGTTGTAGAAAGGAATATTTCTCAGAAACAGGGATCATGTGGTTTGACAGATATTTTTCCCCAAACTATATAGTTTTTCTCAACAAACTTCTATTGTTTCAAGGCTAGACACTTCAAGTGCAGACTCATATCCTCTACATTTTCGACCAAGTATTACCCTAAGGCAGGTTTTTCCACTCGTTCACAGTTCCTGATGTTTTAGACGAAACTTTGAATAATTTTAGGTTAAAAAGCCTATGTTTAAACATTCAGGTTGCAAATATAAAGGGATTAGAAATTTTAAGTTTATGGAAATAACTCAGTTCCTTTATCGGAGCACCGACATTGTTCCACATTTAAGAAGGTGTAAAGACTAATGATTCAAGGATGAATTTGGCTTGGTGCTAAAGCATTTATCGTTAAATAAAAATTTTTATTGATTAAAATGAGAGATTGCAACGTTAACAACTATAAAGGAAACCCCGCATACATTGTCAAATAAAAAATAGATTAGAATTTGTTGTTCTTTTGTGATTAGTTCCATAAAACTGTGGAATACAAAGACGACATTTAAAAAAAATTATCTTAATGTAATGCAAATGGTGAAATGGGTCTGTGTACAGTTCACTTTACAGTTTAGCAATCGTGTTTAATAAGTTGATTGAACTAATCAAAATCATAACTTCTAGTCCACCAGTTGTTTTCCTATTCCGTTTAGAGGTTCTTCTGTATCGGTAACAATTTTTTCATGTTAAAACACAAACTCTTAAATGCACACATAATAACAGGTCTGAAAGCTTTTTCTTTATTGTTATTATAAAAAAGAATTGGTCTTCTTGTTAACACAAAAAATAAAACTTTGCAGCTTTAACTATAACTTCTCGTTATTCATTAAATCTTTTGTATTGACGGAACATTGTATTAATAATTGTAGTAATAATACAGCATTTGGTGTTTAGAATTTAACGATACTTACACCACCACCAGATATGGGTAGATATTGCCCCAGACGGATTCCTGATTTTCAAAATGATATTTTTTATCTCGTCTTGGGTGAGTCATTAATTTTTTAAACCTAACATTTTCTTGTTTTATTTTATGCAGGGGTTCATCTAGGATTAATCAAGATTCGGTGTATATTCATTACACCCAAAAATGACACATTACAACATTTAGACACAAAAAATCTGCAACCAAACTTAAACCATGAAATTTGCCACAAATAGTAAGTTATTTCATAAGAACAGGCCAAAAATCTAATTTTACACCCACCGCAAGCTCTAGATGAACCACTACTTTAATGACAAGTAGTTTTAAGTAAATTAATTAAGTTTATTCGAAGAACCCTTTTCTTATTACTATTCGAATTTTAAAGAAAAAATGGAAAACACAATTATAAAAACAGTTAAAAAATCAAGTTTAACTGAATTATGACACGAAATTAAGGAATGAATGAATAAATAAGGAATCCCAAAGAAAAAAGATTTACCACATTACCTTGGTGAAATAAGTATTTATTATGGGGTAATAGTCAGGGGCGTATTCAGGAATTTTTCTTTCCAGGGGGGAGCTTAGCACCCGTTGGGGCATGAAAAACCCCTGAAATCAATAGATTTCACTGGTCCAGGTGGGGGCTTTGCCCCAATAGCCCCCCCTGAATACGCCTCTAGTAATAATCTTTTATAAATTGAGTTTCTTAAACTTGAGATAACTTTCTTTTCAAAATATATTTTCCTTTAATTCCGGAGAACCAATCACATCCTTGAGAACTTGGTCTAAGAATTCCACACAGTTCAGTGCATCCTGAGATCAGTGAAAACCAATACAAAACGGAAATATTGTCGTCTTCACATGTTCATTTCATTAAATATACTATAATCTCTCAAAACTGCTCCAAACATTTTCAAATGTTTTAGTATTACAATACAAAGCATTATGATAAAGTTATTAACTAAAAGAAAAAACTAAAACGACAATCATTCCACTTGACATCGAATATTGCTGTAGTAAAATGCATTCAAATGTTTTTAATATTCTCCATTCCTTCTCACTATTTATCATATTTGAAAGTGAGGACTTAATTCAGTATTTACAACGAGATGATCTTAGATAATCTAAACCCTATCCCGATTGAGCTATTTTTCTCTAATATAGATGGGGAGGGGGGGGGGGGGTGTATCCGCTGAGATGGCTTCCCAGATTCAGAAGTTTGAGCAATGTTATACCAAACAGTGACAAGGTTAAATCAAACTTTTATGAATTAGCATTGTAATACCTAAATTCAAAAGCCATAATATTATTATGTCTGCTGGAGTTTATAATATGAAAACGGTTATGGCTGTAAAGATGTGTCTATCATGTCTCCGAAAGATGAACCGTGAAGACAGACAAGTTTAATTTGTTGGTATACTGTAATTTTCTTGTTGCAGTCAAAACATAAACAAACAAATTGTACAGATACGAAACTCTTACAGATTACAGCTTTCTCAGTAGGTATGACTATACTAAATCAAAGAATTATTTAAAAAGACGACATCGAATTCGTCAGTGAATTCCCATGTTTATTGGGACACCCTGTATTAGGCTTTTTATAAAAATCCAATCCATACAAAATATTTTATTCTGCTTTGAAAAAGCTTCTTTTTTAATTCTTTTTTGGAAAATAATGCTCGATCCATATGTACGTTGTAACTTATTATTGTGAAGAATCTTCTTAGAGTTAATACCTTATCTACAACTTTAAGACATTGTTTAAGATGTCTTTGACAATATTTTTGTCCGAAACATAGCATAGTCAAATTAAGACAATTTATAGCAATTTATTTATCACCTGCTCCGTCCTTACGCTCATTCCATCGAACTTGAATCCTCTTTTAAAGAAAGCAGAACAGTCTCCAGTATATCCACTTAGACAATACTCCTAAATATATAGTAGGTTCCACTAACAGCTCAAGTATACCCACTTAGACAATACTCATAAATATACAGTATGTTTCACTAAACAGCTTTAGTATATCCACTTAGACAATACTCCTAAATATATAGTAGGTTCCACTAAACAGCTCAAGTATATCCACTCAGACAATACTCCTAAATATATAGTAGGTTCCAGTAAACAGCTCAAGTATACCCACTTAGACAATACTCCTAAATATACAGTATGTTCCACTAAGCAGCTCCAGTATACCCACTTAGACAATACTCCTAAATATACAGTTTGTTCGAAAAAACAGCTCCAGTATACACAAATACTCCTAAATATACTGTATGTTCCACTAAACAGTCTCCAGTATATCCAATTAGATAATACTTCTAAATATACTGTATATTCCATTAAACAGTCTCCAGTATACCCACTTAGACAATACTCCTAAATATATAGTAGGTTCCACTAAACAGCTCAAGTATACCCACTTAGACAATACTTCTAAATATACAGTATGTTCCACTAAACAGCTCAAGTATACCCACTTAGACAATACTCCTAAATATACAGTTTGTTCCACTTAACACCCACTTAGACAATACTCCTAAATATACTGTATGTTCCACTAAACAGCTCCAGTATACCCACTTAGACAATACTCCTAAAAATACAGTTTGTTCCACTAAACAGCTCAAGTATACCCACTNACGCAAAATTCTTATCTGATAGATAGTTCTTACGAGAGACATCTAGCGGCCAAACTATCGTCCCCCAAAGTACGTGAACAACACGACCACTGTTTAAACATTATTATGGAGAGAACGGGCTCAGTATACCCACTTAGACAATACTCCTAAATATACAGTTTGTTCCACTAAACGGCTCCAGTATACCCACTTGGACAATACTCCTAAAAATACAGTATGTTCCACTAAACAGCTCCAGTATACCCACTTGGACAATACTCCTAAAAATAGAGTATGTTCCACTAAACAGCTCCAGTGTATCCAATTGGACAATACTGCTGAAGTCCATTTGTGCAGATTACACAGCCTTGCAGTTAAGTAAAGTTGATTTACAAGAAACTAGAGAATTGTATTCCTTTACAAAAGTATCAAAAACAGAGGACTAATTAAACATCTTCTTTCATATTCACAGTTTTATGTGTCTCCCTGTATATACATACGCGGATACAGGATTGCTCTCAATGAATGCGAATTCAGAGACAACTATATGGAACTTATACTACCGGCCTCCTTTTCTTCAGGATTCCTTGCAAATATGAACTTTTTTTCTTTTCTAAATTCCTTGCAAATATGAACTTTTTTCTTTTCTAAATTCCTTGCAAATATAAACTTCTTTCTTTGCAAAATTCATTGCAAATATAAACTTCTTTCTTTGCAAAATTCCTCGCAAACATGAACTTCTTTCTTTCTTTGCAAAATCATTATCTAAGCCATGTGAAGACCATATTCAATGGAGAAGACATTTAACTCGGGATCTTCATATTTGAGGAGTTTAAAGTCGTCTTTGCAGTCTTACTCTTTGTGGGTAATCATGTAGCAAAAAAGAAAAGATAAATGAAAACTTAACATATTAACGCACTAAATACATGAAATAAACCTTTTCGGTAAAAAATCTGTATCTTTTACCGACAACTAATATACGATTCTTTAAACATTTTCAAGCCGTGAATAGCTGCAATTTTCCAGCTAGGCGAGGAGGTCGCAGATAGAAAATATCTAACGAATCCGACAAAAGTAGAAACAAATTTTAAAATATCATAAATAATTCATTTAAAGTTTAACACCAACCTGACAAACCTTGGATTGATTCGCAGTCGACATTTTTCTATTTTCATTAAATAGAGTAATCTAGCAACAATAATTATTTAATAACTGTGATAAAATTAACTATTTTGTTAACTTTTGTGATTAATCTTGTTGAACAATGTGATTATACAAAACGAACGTTCGATTAAGCATCGGACCTACTCAATACACACATCTGACAAATAAAAAGTATTCATTGGACTAACGAAAATTTACATAATTTAAGGCAACAATATCAGTAAAAGATCTTACGATGCCATACAGCAGTCAGAAATCACAGCAGGTTCGAATTGTATCGTAGATCAAATGTTTCCGAACATCATTCTTCAAATACTCACCGATATTTTGATCAGCTTAAAAACATAAAAAAGGATGAAAGCATTATCACATTATTTACTAATTTTGAATTGAAGAATGTTTGAAATCAAGGGTTTTGTTTTCTGGTTTAAAAGTAACAAAAAAATAGAAGTGAAAACATGGCTCAATAACATTATTACTAAATCTAAAGGTACTGTTATAGTAATTAAAAGTGACTCTTTATGCCAATTTAATAATGCCCGATTCACAAGAGTACCCGTGACAGTTTTGTCTCGTCAAGTATGAATTAGATATAAATGTTCATAATTTTCAACTGTGTTCATTTCCCTTGCAGGTAAACATGGGAATTTTCAAAATCATATCTTTCACATTATTTATCAAATAAAGGTTTCTAAGGTACTATTGTGAATCGGGCATTGCTACCTTTGCATGGAAGGTCACTAGCAATGCGACTTACAGTCACTTTAGAATGATTAACAATTTAAGGTTACTGATGTACACTTGTTTGGATAATACAGTTATGATGGTCCGATCTATGTTGGAATAGAACAGGAAAGAAAAGAAGAAAATAAAGAATGATTGATGTAGTATGGAGTAAAGAATATACAAATTGTGAACCTACTATTCAGATATCCAGGAGTAATATTATCCAAGCAATCATAAACTAGACATAATGTTATCCAAGCAATCATAAAATAGACATAATGTTATCCAAGCAATCATAAACTAGACATAATGTTATCCAAGCAATCATAAACTAGGCATATTGTTATCCAAACAATCATAAACTAGGCATATTGTAATCCAAGCAATCATAAACTAGACATCCAAGCAATCATAAACTAGACATAATGTTATCCAAGCAATCATAAACTAGACATAATGTTATTGAGCCATGAAGAAAAGTTTTAAGTTCTTTTTTTCGGTTTTAAACTTTTTAGCGATATATTCTTAATGTGCTAGTTGTTATAATAATAATAATAATGATGGCGTACATATGACAATATAAATTTAGATAAGTGTCGGAATTTGTTCCGTTGATCAAGAACTTTCTCCAAAATTTAATCTTCCGGATTCTGTTTCTGTTTCAGTTTCTGTTCTAGCTTCTGGAACTCGGTCAGTTTAATCTATTTCAGTAACAGTTGCAAATATTCTTCATCAAATATATTGTTTATTAGTGTACAATTTCACATGTACTGCATTGAACAATGAACGTTAAAATGTCTGCCATACTTGCAAAAATCGTTAAAATGATGATAAAAGAAAAAAGTTTATCAAAAAAAGTATTTTTTGTACAAAGAGGACATTTCGAAAAATGCTTCAACTCAGAATTGATTCTGGCAACACAACCACAACCGAGCTTAAGATTAAAAACTAGCATGAAGTCCTATTACATTTTCTAAACATAGCTTCTAAACTTGTGCCCGAATGTATGTATTTTGTAAATCTATGAATAAAGATCTCACATCTGTTACACCTCGTCGGTTTGATCAAATACTTGTTCTACAGAAACAACCTAAAAATTAGATCCACGTCATGTTTTAAACTATTTATCATTTAAAGGGGAAGAAACTTCAGGGGACGAAAGTTCAAAACCGTGCTTATATATTCCAAATCTGACACTTTGAGCAGAAATGTTACAGTAAACGTTCTATACCGTGTCTTGGGAAAATCTAAATACTCTGTTTACAACATATTTATAAAGCATCAACAAGTGTAAAGTCTGGGCTAAATCACGGTTTGTAACTTTCTTCCACTGAACTTACAAATATCCATTCCAATAAATGTTCATCCGAATTCGAGGGAATACTTCCAAGCTCCTATCTCAAAATGAATATACTAAGTCTCTGTAATTTTAAAATAGATTAAACATCGCGTCTTAAATCAGACATTCTGCCAGATTACCAAACACAGCCTTTCAGCCTAGCCCTCGCTATGTTGGTTCGCAGTACACATATTTAATTTCCGGTTAAAAAATTTCAAATTTTTTTCTTTCTTTTTTTCTCATTTTTATGCTTTAACTTGATAAACCATTTAGAGATTATAAAGTTTTAAAATTGGTCAGTAGTCAACAGTTCCTCATCCTGAGTACCGTTTGATTGTTTATCATTACTAAGCATGTAACCATGTGATCAACTTTGGAAACCGCATTACCTCAGGAATGTAGAATTGAAGCATATTTTGAACTCCATTTTTCAGAGTAACTACACTAGAAGGACAAGAGGTGCAGGAGCCCTGAAAATAAAAATGAAATATTATCTTGAATATTATTCGAAAAGATGTTTTTTACATCTGTTATTTTTCATTAATTGTTAAAAATTCGTATGGACTTGGAAAACCTTAAAATATAAACTTTAAATTATCAAAAAAGTGATAGTTCTAAATTTCTCCTATGTTCTTTAAGGAAAAAAACAAATTAAGCTAAAAATGACAAAAAAATCAACAAAAATATGCGGCAGTGTACCTGCATTTTTAGTTTAACGATTCCATCTTCAAATCCTGCGTACACAATATCTCCACCATCCTCCTATAGTACAACTATTTACTTTCACGCATTTTTTCATGAAGCATTTCACATAGATTCAGCCAGCTTATAAAAAGTCTCATAACATTTTAAAACAATGGGCTTTAGTTTTATCGCTCTAACTCTCTTATGCTTTTCTGTAGCCCTTTACATGTATATTTTAACCCTTTAAAGCACTTGTTGTTAGCTTTAGTTTAAAAGAAGTTATGGGCAAAATTCTCATCGGTTTTGTTTGAGAGCTTGCGACTTTTAGATCACAGTGATTTTTCCATGTCCTTTAGATGATAACTACACAGCGTGACTGTGCAGCATTACAGATAAGTATTTAAAACGACAGTAGGTAGTTCAGCGGCCTAGCTCAAACCCAGTGCTTAGGATCCATTTGATTTTGATGCGTATCTTTAAGATTTACTGAATTTTTTTAACAAAAAAAACATTTTCAAATTTTTTGTTTTATTTTTTTAGCTTATTTTTATCCTAAAACTTGATGAACCATTCAGAAATGAGGAAATTTTTATAATCTCTCTTTTTTCAAAAGTTCAGATTTGAGTTTAGGATTAAAAAAGTTTTTTTTGTGCAGTTTTTGGTTGATATTTTACCCCTTGGAACCGGATCCGTTGATCCGCATATTTTTGCGGACCCGGATCCAGGAAGCGAAAATCTTGCGGATCCAACGGATCCGGATCCTAAGCACTGCTCAAACCAATCAATTTTGATCTCCAATGTCACAACTCCTACTCTTTTCAGACTAAATCCAACTTATTAATTGAAAATTAAATCATGATTTTGAACTAGCACTTTTGTACACTTGTGAAGTGTACAATGGCGTAAGTAAATGTGAAGTGTGCAATGGCGTAAGTAAATGTAACAGTTTACTAAATATGTACGATTAAATGTATGTACCTTATAAGGGCTGTAAGCGTAATTTCAAGTGACCCTGCATGCAAAGATGACAATGTCCGATTTACAACTTGAAACCTTTATCTGATCAATAACAAATAGGTTTAACAGTTTTTATTTCTGATAAGTCTTGTATGTATTCCTTTAAGTTACGCTTACTGTCCCTTTAACACAATTGCAGGAAGTATCAGATTGGTGATATTTCTAAAGCATAAACTTTACCTGAACAGTTGGACGAATTCTGGTATCTAGAAGCTCTTTAATCATTGCAACTGTATCATCATCATCATCTAGATATATATTTAAATATACTTGGTTTCTTTGTTTTCGGTCTGTTTGTAGTCAGTCGGCAAAACGGATAAAGCAATCCGAGCTGAATGAAATATCCTTAAACCCGATCACTGAATCTGTGTATCTAATGGACACGCTTTTGATTTTCTTCTTAAGCCGTTCTTTCTTAGATAAAGTAGAGAACAATCAAAAACCGGGTTTTTAAAATTAGAGAGTCCCTCCCGTTTCTGTATATAATCTTAAATGGCGCGCAAAATTTCAAATTTATCGGCTTCATATATGCGACTCTGATTGGTTAAATTTTATACACTTTTCAGGATACATGTAGAAGATTTGGTTAGTCTCGATATTAAGAAAAAGAGAGGATCAAACATTGATCTCGATATCCACTATTCTAAAATTTTCAGCTCCGGTCAAATTGTTTTGTGTGACCTCACATGACCCAAGGGAAAATTTATGGCCCGTGTTTTAATCATTTCAGCCCAAATGTTGAACTACTTGCAGATGCATTGACATTTCCGTGATTTGAATGAATATAATATTCATTGCTTCATAATTTTAAGAGAAGACTATATTCAAGAATGAATAGTTTTTTAGAGTTTACTCTCCTGAGTCTTCATTTTAATACATTTTAGAATTTAATTAATTGCGCCTTACTTTCGTAAATCAATAATTTCCAATGTTGCAGCATTGCTTACATTAATTAACATTGCATGGGGATAAAGGTAAAAACGCCAAAAAATTGGAATTCCTTTAGATGCTTAAATCCACACATGAAAGCTTAATAATCTGTAAAACAATGTAAAAAGCTATAGCAAATAAAATAACATTTAATAGCTCATTTCATTACAATGAATTGGGGTTCGAAGCGCCCTGGATTTATATTTCTTATAAATTTCATTAGAATTTTCCAAAATATAAAATAAGCAGTTAAAGGTCATAATAATTAGGAATATAAGTTAATTACCTAATATCTCGGTATCTCCGCTAGTTTGAATATCTGCACTTATCACCGGAAGTCCGCTGCTAAAGAAATCCATGATGGTGGCAAATATTTCCGGTTTCATTACTCTCCACTCATATCTGCAATAAAGGTCTGATATGATCATTAGCGAGAAGAAGTTTCACCAGGATGACAAGTGAACTACTTTTCACGACACACTTGGGATAAAGACCAACCTTGTCTAGTTTCACCATTTTTCTGTAACTATTAATTTAAATAAAAAATAATTTGTAAACTCACCCATCTTCATCATGTTTTGTGACAGTAATAAAATTAGGTCCAAAGAAAACTCCTTTAACTCCTTCAATTCTAAATATTCATAAAATGTTCAGTAAATCTTAAAAAATCTTTTATCACAAAAGTGTCACAAAGAATTCAATACTAAGTCTTGTGTACATTTTTACTAGCTTTATCATAGAAATCAGCGGCACACATATTAAATTAAAGCAGTCCCAGGAGCGACAAAAAATTATTGTTTATACCACATTCTTATCGGATTTACTACGTAGCCATTTATTAACATTAATTCTTGATATTGTACAGCTAATCTATTTATCAATTCTCGATATTGTAATTGTAATAATAATGATTGAAACCTGCGACACCATCTTCCGAAGATTGATTGAATAAGTATAAATTGTAATTGTAATAATAATTATCAAAACCTGCGATACCATCTTCCGAAGATTGATTGAATAAGTATAAATTGTAATTGTAATAATAATGATTGAAACCTGCGACACCATCTTCCGAAGATTGATTGAATAAGTATAAATTGTAATCGTTGGCGTAACTTTTAAAATATAATATTGAAGAAAATGAAAAAAGTTATGAAAACCTGAAAAGAAGTTTGGCAAGAGGACTCCCCTTAGCAGCAGCAAGGTTTGGTACATCATAGGTTCCTCCACCCTCCAGCACCTCCACACCTTTAAAATCTCGATTTGGAATTTTTAATAATATTCTTCTACATGACATATGACACACAAAAGCACCAAAAATAAATTCGACCTTCAAAAATGTTATCGTTTGAAAATTCGTTTTGTTTATCTTAAAATTTAAAGGAATAAATATTTTTTTGACGTTCAATAACATTAGTAATATTTTTTGAGGACATAAACTCTCAAATTAACAAAAGAGATTTTGAGTTTGAAGTAAGTTTACCTGGCAAAAATTTAAGGCTGGAAGGATTAGGAGTGTCTTGAGTCTGTATAAACATATTCCTTGGAAAAAAAAGTCAATTATTTCATCATTACTCAAAATAAAAACTCATTTTTTTCAATTTTTGAATCTTTGCATCATTAAGTTCCTTAATCAGAAGTTTAATTTTAAAATTATCTTATAGTGATTTGTTTCTTTATTAGGAAACAAAGATAATGTTTTTAAGAATTGAAAAGATTTACAATGCACTGGAGAAAAAATAAACTTTGGTTGGCAGTTTTTTTCTCTTTTCCCCCAATACATATCTTTTCCCCCCACTTCTGCAAAAACATCCTAAGAAATCGAACTTCACGCAAACATATCTAACATCAAAAAAGAAAAAAATTAAGAAAAATTAATGCACCCCGTTAAATGAAGAAATCTCGCCGATTTTCCATCGATCTGAAGTAATGAATCAATTCATGAATCAATCATTTCTTTAAATTATTGGGACTTTGCAGCTATCAATTAATACATCCGACAACCAATCAATCGTCTATTTCGTGAAATTTTTACTCAAATTTTTATTTTCAATCAAAAAATACTGAGACTACAAATTAAACTAATTAGTCAAGTCAGTGCTTAGGATCCATTTAATTTTGATGCTGATCCGGATCCAGGTCATTTCTTTAAGTTTTACTGAATTTTTTTAACAGAAAATAATTTTCAATTTTTCTTTATTTTTTTTTTCGCATATTTTTCTCTTAAAACTTGATGAACCATTCAGAAATGAAGAAATTTTTAAAATCTCTATTTTTTGATAAGTTTAGATTTGGGGTTTAGGAGTAAAAAAGATTTTTTTGCAGTTTTTGGTTGATATTTTACCCCTTGGATCCGGGGATCCAATTTTTGCGGATCCGGATCCAGGAAGCCAAAATCTTCCGGATCCGGATCATAAGCACTGAATCAAGTAACATCTGATCTTAACACCAAATGCGCGATTTCTGAGTTGGGCAAATTCGACGTGATAAATTTTCAAAAATTCCTAGATTCCAAACCTGTGATTTGTCAGAAGAGGGTTGTTTAAACGAAAATTTAGACTGGGATTAAATATTCCATATTTATTTGACATTGTGCGCACTGTAGTCATAGGGCGCATACAACGCGCAACCAGTGTCAGGGCGCGTATTCCTCTTTGAGCGCTCATTTTTAATCTGAAAATACATAAAACTAGTGATTCACGTTTATGAATATATTTGTCTAAAATTTTACAATCTTTGGAAATAAATTGAGAAGCAGAATTTGTTTTGGTTGAAAAATAAAATGCAACAACATCACTACAACATAATTTATGTTCACATTTTCACAATATTAAAGGGACTGATGGAGTTCTTTTTATAACATGTTGTGAATTAAAATATTATTATAATGCTTTATGGGATAAATTATAGTTCTACTGACGAGACAATGAAAATCGAATTTTATCTCGCCGAAAAATCTTGGGTTAAAATTCAAGCCCTATCAAATAAATATCTAGTTTAAATCCAAGCATCTTAAATGTTGGACCACAAGACAGAACCAAGTAGGATTAAAGTGTTAAATAAACAAACTGAATCTATTTCTAGATTCACCAAAGAATAGAGAAAAATATAATTTATAAATTTCAAGTTTTCTGAATGTATTTTTATTAACGCGAGACATAATATTTCTATCAAATACTTGTGTATGTTTGAAACTTTTCGTTTTCAACAAAAAAAAATTACATTTTCGCTAAGAAAGTAAGTGATGATTTTTTCAGTAGACTAATACAAAGATCTTGAAAAATTTACATATAAGTAATAATTCTTCTATGGGATAAACGAATGGAGCTGTGTCGATTAATTGATCAACAGGCGCTTTTATTAATTTTTGAACATCAAGTATGACATCGATCTTTGCACGAACATACGGCATCGAGTGTCCTACGAGCGAAGACGTACAAAGAGCGTACGGTACAACTTTAGAGCACAACATTCAGTTTTTTTAAAACCCAGGATCAATTGATCAGCTGTAAACACACTGCATACAGAACACTGTGTCCTAATGATAGGGTTGTTAAAGACTTTTAGCGCAGTTTTACAATTCTTTCACGTGTGTTAAAATAAATACATTTTTTAAACAACAAAGAATATGTACTGATAAGGGATTGATTTAAAAATCATAAAGTCTACAATTTAACACGCTAGAAAGACATTTTTTTACCAACATTGAACTATTTTGAGTAAACCCACGGTCACACCACACGAAGCTGTCCCGAAAAATCCGGCACATTCCTCGGAGAAAAATCCGCAACAAACTCCGGAAAAGATCCGAAACATTGTTCGGAAAAATATCCGCGACATAATTTGGTGAAAAATATGCAAAATCATTCCGCTGCATTTCGAAGTTTTAAAATAAAGAAATGTTTTAGTTATGAAGTTTTAATATTTCCCGACTTTCGGTCATTGAACAATTTTTGACAATTACAGTTTTGTTACAGAATGTTAAGTCTTGTATATATTTGGATGAATAAAAAAATTGGAGCTTTGCAAAATATAATTATAATAACAGGAAAGTCTTTGGATTAAACTAACACGTAGTAGATCAAAGAAGAAATAGTCTGAAACATTGCAATTATCGAGGACAAAAAATCTTTAAATGATGACCGTTTGGCGTTCTTTTTTGAAAAATTTCAGTGCGGAAAGAAACTTAAAACTGACATAAAAAGAATATTTAAAGTTCAAAATATCGGAATGGTTTCACATATTTTTTACAGGAAACTTTCACTGGGTGGCGTAGAAATCATTGATTTAACACTAGATGAAGGGGTGATGAATATAAATAACCTAACGAAAAGTTTTTCTCAGTAAACTCAGATTAATTAAAATTCTGAGACCAATGATAAAGACATTAATTTAAGAATAATTAACGGTAGACATCGTCTCCTTCCCCATTATCAGACGCAGACGTTTCATCTTAGTCGGTGAGTCATCTTTCTGAACAAACAGACCGTTCTTCTCCACCTCAGCAGACAGGTGTCTCCTCTTGCCGAGCTTGATGGACTCCTTGTTGAAGGATATCTCCGGGTCTACCTTGATCTCCTCCTCAGATTCAATTCCTTCAACCCGGAGAACTTCGTACTCGTCACTCTAAACAAATGATAACCGTCAGGTCAGAGGATTAAATTAAGGATTAAATTAGTTTTAACATCCAGTGAAAATTCGTAAGCTATAAAACAAAAGTCGATGACAAATAAAAAGAAGAAAGGTTTTATCATCTTACATTTTCTTTAAACTAGAAATGGTGCTTTTGATTGCTTAAATTTGTAACTGTTAGAACAAATTTGTCTCTAGTTTGAAGATCAGAGTCTAAAACTAAAGAAGGCGCGAAAAAGTTATAGTTTGTAAGTTTTGTAAAATAATGAGTTGCTACTTAAATGTTCAACTTTCTCAATTAAATCTTGAAAGGAAACTTGAATTTCCCTGAGAAAATCTGAACCAATCAGAGAAATGGATTACGGAGAGATATTACGTAACCATCGCTCATCAGCTGTTTTTTAATCTTAAATAATTTACGTAACCTTAAACAAAACACAATTCCAGGTACAACCGTTTATGGGTTTACATTGCAAAAATTAATTAGTCTATCTATCTATCTATTAGGACATCCCAATAACACAAATGTTACCAGGAAACCACCCCTCCCGGCAACCCTCTGCCTCACTTAGGAGTACATGGGTCACAGAGTTAGCATGACATGCGCAATGATACTGTTATGCCCGAGTGGAAGTAGCCGAAGCCGTGAAGCCCCAACTATAGAGGCTTGTATCTATAGCCTGAATTGTAAGAGAATGTTAGGTTTATCCTTATTTTCCTCCGACTTTTGGCCGAATCATTCAATTAGATCTAAAATGTGAAATGTCTTCAATCAAGGTTTTAACTTTTAAAACCCATCAGGGTTAAAATTCAGGTTTAAATTAAGTCAGAAGTGGCATTTAAGCTGAAACCTAAAATTTAATTTGGAACTTTTCATTCTTCAGTTTTAGAATCTGGGAGAAAAAATGGAAAATTGGATTTTAAAAGGCTAGATTTTAATACCTTTTTATATACTTTTAACCAAAAAAAATCAGTATTTTCCCCTAAAACAGCGCGCGGGGGGGATTTTAGATTTTAAACTGATAAAAATCTTAATTTATATTTATTTAATTCAATTTTTCTTGAATTCAAAGAAAGAGAAAAAATGCTGTGCTTAACAAATGTAATGTCTATCCATACCTTGTCTTCACCCCAGCCGAGGATAACCTCGTCTAGAACAGGAGACCTCTTCCTCAGTAGTAGCTTAACCCTGAGGGGCGAGTTCGGGGGTAGAGGAGTGTGAGGAGGGGAGGGGGAGGGAGAAGGGGAGAAGGTGGAGGAGGAGGGATGGGTGGTCCTTTCCGAGGGATCATCAGGAGAAACTTCTTCTTCTAAAATAAAAGAAAGTTATTGAATCTGGAAACTAATACAATAATACTGTCAACATAATTTCAATGACCGCGTATTAAAGAAACACATGACATATTCACACCAGTACCCTGAACACCTCTCTCTTGAAACGTTATGAAGTTGAATTCTGTCCATATGGTTTTAAATATTTGCTGCGTAGATGCGCAAGACCTTTAATGTGGATGCATTTAAAATTATTACCTGGATCTGTATCCCTGGATATCTGATTAAGTTCCCGGAATGAATTCTCTATATCCTGCTGGTTAAACGTTCATGTGAAATCAGTCCCGCAAACAACATTTTAGGGATAATTTCAAAGAGTTGAATCGAATCGAATCGAATCGAATCGAATCGAATCGAATCAAATCGAATCAAATCGAATCAAATCGAATCAAATCGAATCAAATCGAATCAAATCGAATCAAATCGAATCAAATCGAATCAAATCGAATCAAATCAAATAGAATCAAATAGAATCAAATCGAATCAAATCGAATCAAATCGAATCAAATCGAATCAAATCAAATAGAATCAAATAGAATCAAATCGAATCAAATCGAATCAAATCGAATCGAATCGAATCAAATCAAATCAAATCAAATCAAATCAAATCAAATCATATTAAATCAAATCAAATCAAATCAAATCAAATCAAATCAAATCATGCCCTACTTTGATCATGAAGGGACTTAACTAACTTTTACAAACTTATATAGGAAAGTACCTATCAGGTAAAAAAGCAAAACAAGTGCGCGTTTTAAAAAATTTAAGAAGAATATAAAAATAAAAAATTTGTTTGTTTGAAACAGGAATGATTTTATATGAACTGACCCTTTGAAGTCTATCTAGTTTCCGTAGAGTTGAAGAATAATTACGCCTAGCCTCAGCAGATCTAGTATCTACACTCCGCCGGGTCTCAACAGTCCGCGTAGAACGCCGGGTTTCTGTCCTCGAATTGTCGAGGTTCATCCGGCGCACACCGTTCTCCAGAGCGGCTCGAATCCTTTGCCTGACCTCCTGATTCTCAGCCGAGCCTCGACTATCCTCCAGTTCCTAAACCAAAGAGGTTTCAAAACATTTTACAACCATAAATGTCACATTATGTTATTATCATGTACTACACGTATGAAAAGTATAAAAAGTATTTTTAAAAAGAATAAAAAGCATAAAAAGCATTAAAGCATAAAAGCATAAAAGCATAAAAGCATAAAAGCATGAAAAGCATGAAAAGCATGAAAAGCATGAAAAGCATGAAAAGCATGAAAAGCATAAAAGCATAAAAGCATAAAAAGCATAAAAAGCATAACAAGCATAAAAGCATAAAAAGCATAAAAAGCATAAAAAGCATAAAAAGCATAAAAAGCATAAAAAGCATAAAAAGTATAGAAAGTGTAAAAAGTAAAAAGTATAAAAAGTATAAAAAGCATAAAAAGCATAAAAAGCATAAAAAGCATAAAAAGCATAAAAAGTATAGAAAGTGTAAAAAGTAAAAAGTATAAAAAGTATAAAAAGTATAAAAAGTATAAAAAGTATAAAAAGTATAAAAAGTATAAAAAGTATAAAAAGTATAAAAAGTATAAAAAGTATAAATAGTATAAAAAGTATAAGAAGTACAACAGGAATAAGTTCATGATTAAAATTTTGATAAGAATAAGATTACGTAAAACCAGAAAATTATGAGAAAAAAATAGCAGGGAAGAGCAGGTCACAGCAGTAATCTGCAAGTTGGTTTTTGTATGCAACAATTTTCATTGAATCCCACTAAGCTTAAAACGTATTGATGTAGGACAATTTAAAAACCAACTCTTTACAAAGGAATGTCAAATTATAACAGTAATGTTTGAATCATTGGTTCAAATTATTAAGATAGTAAATGATACATATTCTACATAAAAATAAAGACATTAACCTGATCTGAACTGTAGGATACAGGAACACCATGATAAACCCTGCTAAGTCCACTAGACCAGTTTTCCCCTGCTTCTATACCGCTGTCGGAACCGCTGGATAGAGTATCATCACTAATACCACTTGAGGAATCACTCGGTACTCGTCCTCTTTCACACCGACGCACACCACTACACTGTATGTCCTAGGAAGAAAAAGATTGGCTATTTCGAAAAAGAACACTATCTGGGGAAACGAGCAAAACAAATCTTTTATTATTTTTTAGGAACACTTGGAGAATTTGATTTAGGGTGCCAGATTGAACTGGTGGGGGAATCAGCACCTGACTGAGTCCTTCTCTCGGATGTCGGTCTGGGGATCACACATTGGGGGTCTTTCATGATCTTAGTCATTTCATTTCATTTCAATCCAAGCTCGGATATTATTAATTGAGCAGAAAAATCGACGTTGTTCATTTAACTATTTAACTTCCAAATCCCNCCCCCCCCCCCCACCGAAAAAAGAGGAAATTCACCTTTAGAACTTTCTTCCCTGCCTCCACTTTTCTCTGCTCTTCGCACTGCGCGGCGCGTCTTCCTGCTGTTGCGCGCAGTGACCGGACGGTAAGCGTATAGTCACGTGACACGCAGGAAGCGACCGGAAGGGATTCCAGTTCGCGGAGTTCAGAAGCGTTTGTTACGGCAGGCTGGTGAGCTTTGTCCTTGTCTGATGGAGGATCTGAGTTTGAGAATACTAGAGGATTCACTTCCTTTGCTCCCCCTGCAAACAAAATCAATTTATATGTAATATTTCATTCTAAAAGTTGTGAGGGAAAAAAGAATCTATCTTCCTTCTATTCAGAAAAATCAAGATGGATTCTTCTCTCCCTCAAAGGTCAAGAACTCATAGGATTGTATAATAAAAAATGAGACCTATTTGAATTGTGTGTGTGTCTAAAGAGTGTCCGGCTCATTGTTTTCGGCAATGTTTTTGGCCATGTTTTGAAACTTAAGTGAAAAACATTTACAAAAAATATTTAGTATAAATGGGTCTAATTATTAAGTTTCCTAAAAAAAAGGTTAATATTTACCTAAAAAAGGCTGTGTGTTAATCTGATGGTTTTGTTGCAGTGTGAACCCCTGAGCTATCATGAGTTCAGCGTCGTATTTAGTTCCACGAAATCCTCGTTCCTTCAGCTGTTTATATGTTACAGCAGACTCAGGGGGACTCACCGTACCTACACAGTACACACAGGTCAAATTAGCCCATAAATCAATTGATCAAACCATTAATCTATCAGCAAATCAATCCACCAGTAGAAAAATCCATGATTCTATCGATCCAACGATACATCAGTAAACAATCCACTAGTTAAAATACCCAAGGGTAGGCCATTAGAGAATTTTTTACCGTACAACATTTCTTCTGGAATGCACTATAAACTCGGTGTCGGTGGTTTAAAACTGGTTTACATACAATTTTATTAGACCTATGTCGAAACAATAATTTACAGTTTCGACATGAGCGGAGGAGAGGGTTTTGATAAATATTTAAAAATAATGAATTAATTCACCTCGCTCCATTTTATCTTAATATTTGTATCTTTATAACTCTGGACTGTGCCTAAGGTTTGAATACTGGGTTCAATTTCATGTTTCGATTTAAGTCCAGTTTCGGTTGAGTTTGTTTTAAAAAAACTACAGAGCGTCCCATATTATATTAGATTATCTCCAATCTTTAACGCCAAAATACGCACATACTACTCAAAAAATCTAGCATTTTCTGCAAAAAAAATGATTCATTCATCTTAAATTTTCTGATTTATCCCACAAATTGTAATTTAGACCCATTGACGAGGTCTAATTTGATGTGGGACACCCTTTAGTATACAATTGTACAGCCACCGAAAATGAGTTCATTGTATACTACGGAATTAGGTGTATTGTGAGTACAAATTTCTCTATTGGCCATTCCTTAGCTTGAAAATACCTTTAAGTTAATTAACCGTTTTATCAAACCTAAAACATTCCCTTGGTTGTACCGCGTTCACCAATCAAAATTAGAGGCAAGGTTCATGAATTATGATCGGACAAACAAACAAACAAACAAACAAACAAACACAAAGTACTACTATATATGTATAAATTACCTGATGAAACCGGACTGGCAGATCTACTGTTGGAACTTGAATTAGAATTACTAGTCTGTAGATTAGAGCAGGCTGTTGCTAACTGTTTTGGTCGACGCAATCTATAAAAAAAAATATTATGAACCTGTCTATTTTTGTTGTCAACAATTGAAATACTATAAGCTAGGGCTCACCGAACAAACAATGTAAGTTCTGAGTATCGTTCAGGTAATTCTAAAACAGGAGTTACTGACCAGAACTAGAAAAATCCAATTCTCTAGGCTCAAAGACTAGTTCAAGGGTATTCAATCTAACTCTTCTGGATTCAAATTAATTTAAATGCATGGATTTAATAGAATGGAAAAAAAACGATTTGAAGATCAAACTTTGTAGTGATTAAAATGATGACGTTTTTCTTTGAACAATGATGGTAATTGAACTTATTTCTGATCGATGTGCTAGATATTGTTGTTTTTCTTGCTAGAAAAGTGTTCGATTACAAAACTTCCTTCATATTATTTCTGAAGCAGAAATGCGTGAGAAACTTGTACCACAGTTGAGAAATTGATCAACTTTTAAAGAGAAGAAAAAACCCTTCTTAATCAAACAAAGCTTTAAGGGTACCGTTCATTCAATAGACGGAGAACATGTGAAATTACGTTTCAAGTCCCTTTAAATACCAACTGAAGTCCTCAAGTGTTAACACCTAACCTGAGATCTGTTTCTCTTAACCTATATCCGTTCTCTTTCTCCGGTGAGTTGGCCAGCCCGCTGAATGCGCCGGTCTTCCGTCGCTCACAAGTCTCACACTCACAATAACAATTATTGTCTCCGAAGAAGTCCTCTCCGTACATACAGGTGATCTCCTCTCCGGGAACTATATCACGTAGAACCTAAATATCAACTTCCATTAATCTCATATTTCCACGAATATTCAGTTGTATTTCAAAAGACAATTTTTCCATCCTTTTTGATAATTTTTCCTATTAAGAAAAAGGTAAAACTGCTGTTTGGGATGGGAAGGAAAATATTTAACTGCTGTGTTTAGGTCAGGATTGGAAGGAAATGCAGAGCATGTAAGTGAGCATGTTGTTAAATGTGTATATATATATATATGTGATTATAAAAGAAAAAGGTGAGTGTGCCCTGTGCATGTTGTCAGTACAAAATAATTAAGTTAATGTCAATATTGATCTATGTCGAAAGATCAATATAAGGAGCGTGTACGAATGAATATTCTTCAACAAGTGTAATAATATTTCCATTCTTTAGTGCTCGGAGCGTGTAAGAATACACATTCTTTCACGGTCTGAGCGTTAAAGAATGAAAATTCTACACCTACAGTGTAAGAATACGCATTCTTAAACGCTAGGAAGCGAACAACATTAAAACTGTTCCTCCTGAACCGTAAAATAATAGAAATTTTTACACGATAGGTTTACTACTATGGAACCGAGCAGATATAATATATAACTACTTACTATCTACGTACTTCGTAATGTTTAGAATTAAATGAAATTCATAAAACCACAGAAATGTGATGTTAGGCTTTGGAACAGGGTAATCAACATAGAATGAGACTAATAACGATAAGAAACTCGTAGAAATTGGATTGTAAGAATTAAGGCTGAGTTAATTCCGTCGTCTAAAAGTCTTATCCATTATGGGTAAACCTGTATAATAACATTAATGTAAGAATTACTATAACCAACCTTGACACAGGCTCTATCTCTCCCAGTTGCTACAAACTTGCAGTTAGGTCTGCAGTCGTGGTTGATGTAAGCCGCTGTTCCCAACCACAACTGGGCGCAGTTTTTCCGACAGGAGAACATGACAGAGAAGTCATTCTTCCCTTGAACCAGCAGCATACGCTCCTCCTCCTCAGACAACTCAGCAATACAACCTGCAATCAATCAATCAATCGAACGACCAACTCATTATTTAAACGAACAGTCAAAAAGTCGAACAATCGAACAGTATATCAATCGAGAAGTACATCAATCGAACAGTACATCAATCGAACAGTACATCAATCGAACAGTGAGTCTATCAATCAATCAGTCAGTCATATAAAATGTCAATCAATCAAACAGTCAGACAATCAATCAATCCGCCAGTCAATCCATCAATCAATCAATCAAACATGTCATGGATTTATTCTTTCATTTAATCAGTTAATTAAAAAAACTCCCGATGATAAATTTTGTTTTGTCATGTATTAACTTTCTTTTTCAGTTCTTATTTCAATTCGTGTGACCCTGTATTAATTGTTTCATCAATAAACCGATATATAAGCAATCTTTCAATAACATATCAACCCCTAACAGCTTCATTAATAGAATAAACTACGATATAAGTAAATTGTGCTTCATTTTTCAAATTTATTAAAAAATTGTGCTGTTAAAAGGACCGTTCACTTATTTGGGTAATTTCAGGGTAAACTAAACAGCCTATTCGCTCTTGATTAGCAATGGTCTTACTTTTCAAAGACAACTGTGGCCTGAGAAAAATCCGATTTTTCGTTCAGAATTCGAGCGAAAAGGGACGGTCCCTCTCTATAGACACTAATTGATGTTTTCTTCAGTATGTTGTGAATCAAAATAAATTTCGAATATAAAATTAAACTGTAGTATCTGATCGTTAATTGTAAATGTCATTATTTTTTAATTTTTGTTGTTTTTTAACTTTCTATTTCTAAAATAACACTATTTTATCGCATTCAAAATTGTGTATTGCCTGTGTAAAAAGCTGAATTGAACGCGGCATGACAAATGAAAAGTTGTGCACATACGCGAACAAATCTACAAAATCTATGAGCCAAAATACGAGTAATGCTTAATTGATTGTCGTAGAGACGTCGTCTTTGTAGGCATATTTTTCATGTTTTAATACGAAAAACGTAAATTTCTTGCTAACTCAAATATCAAAAGTTTTCATATTTTAGTTCATAATAAAGAACACATAATGCCATTAAAATATAATAAATTTAAATGTTTTTGGGCTGCTGTTACTGAAAAAAACATCAAATAGTGTCTATAGAGAGGGACCGTCCCTTTCAGCTCAAATTCTGAACGAAAAATCGACTTTTTCTCCGGCCACAGTTGTCATTGAAAAGTAAGACTATTACCAATCAAGAGCGAATAGGCTGCTTAGTTTACCCTGAAATTACCCAAATAAGTGAACGGTCCCTTTAAGACTACCAGGATATTGTGCGATTAAAAGTACATATTTGCCTTAAAGAAAAATCTAAAATATTCAGGACAAGTCTGGAATAAAATCTAAAATATTCAGGACAAGTCTGGAATAAAATCTAAAATATTCAGGACAAGGCTGGAATAAAATCTAAAATATTCAGGACAAGTCTGGAATAAAATCTAAAATATTCAGGACAAGTCTGGAATAAAATCTAAAATATTCAGGACAAGTCTGGAATAAAATCTAAAATATTCAGGACAGGTCTGGAATTAAATCTAAAATATTCAGGACAAGTCTGGAATAAAATCTAAAATATTCAGGACAAGTCTGGAATTAAATCTAAAATATTTAGAACAGGTCTGGAATAAAATCTAAAATATTCAGGACAAGTCTGGAATAAAATCTAAAATATTCAGGACAAGTCTGGAATAAAAATGTCAAAAATTGCGTTAACTGAACTACAATAAGAACAGTGCAAAATTTTATGACATTTTCATGATTAATATTTGCGATCAAATATTTATTTTTAATTTCAACTGGATCTAATTTGACAAATCAATTTTAACATTAAATCTAAATACCAAAAAAGTCCAGTGAAGTGTTAAAGAATAATTTTTTTAAATAGTTTTTGATCTTTTCTTACCGATTAGAGAAGAAATTTGATCTCCCTTAGACCAATGTTTGGTTGCTACTACCCTGGCTCCCATCTGTCCTTCCATACTATATCTAGAAGAAAAAAATAATTATTTATCACAAACTAACCAAGCTTCTGTCCAAAAACTTAACTACTTCCCTTAAATATATTTTAGGCGATAATTCCCAACAATATTTTAAGAGAGAGAAATGATTTCCACGAAAATATTTTCTACTTGACTAATTTGAACTAATTTGAAATGAAATCTGAAAAAGAGGTCCCGTTATGAACCCCCCAGACCGCCGCCAGGCACAGGAAGCACCGTCACATCCCTGCTCTAGCTGAACCTTTATACCCTCAACAATTATTCTATTGTCATAAGATAAAAAGGAGATACATTCCAGCCAGTGGCTCATCAATTAACTCCATTGGTTGGTTGTATCAGTCAACCCTTTCATTATAAGAAGAAACAATAGTATTTTAAACGAACTATTCATCCTTGCTAGCAAAAATAGTAGAAATATCTTTTAAGGCTAGCAATAAAGGATACCCCCCCCCCATAAATCTTATTTTAAAGTAAAATATAAACAAACAAAAACAAACCTGTGACAAGGTTCAATATTGAAACCAGAGTCTCTGTGAAACCATTGAAGATATCTGTAAACATGTTCCCGTAGAGCTTCTTGATGAATCTTACTCTTCCTTTACAACAATATAAATCAGTCAATCACTCAGGATTCTCAATTTTGGGGATGTGAAGTTGCTTAGATATTGAAGATTTAAAAAGAAAAAAGATGTAAAATAGCGAGGCATAAAATTGCATTTTTTTTATCTATATAAAAAAACAAGACATTCGTATATATAAATGTTGCTGGACTGATTGGGCTGAAATGTTTTGTGGACAGGGGTGTTAAAGGCTAACAAAAATTTTCTTCAAATTTTTTATTCAATTTTTTATTCCACGGGCAACGCCGGGCCCTTCAGCTAGTATTAAATATTACCTGTTGTACACATTTCGGAGCCAATCACATTCCATTAACAGTTTCCAGGTTTTCGTGTGGTTTTGATGCTTCTGGAACTCCTAGGAAAATTATATTCAAATTATGACCAATATAAATTGAGGTTACAAATGCTCCTTTTCTAGAATAGCTTCTTTAATAACAACCATTAATTTTTTATAACAGAACTAGTTATGATTTAGAGAATATTGATTCTTTCAAGGTCTCTCCACGTGATTTTAACTGTCACTCTATTGAAAGAGGGACGAGACTTTCATATTTACATGTTTTTATAGCTTAGAAAAATAAAAATGTATTGAAAATTTCCTCCACTACCTCTGCAGCAGAAATCCGCAGGCAACTTTTGTGGAGAAACCAATAGTGATCTGAGCCCACGATTTCAAAAATTCGGAAAATATGGCACGGGTCTTAGCTGTCGCTGGGCCTTATTTACGGTTTGAGCTTTCGGATTCAAGCTGCATCTTATTTTCAACAGCATTGAGTTCAAAAAACCGGCTTAATATTCTTTTTGGCGGATTTTCATGGTAGGAATCGGCGCATTCCGGGTTTTTTGAGAACAATACTCAACATTGAGCCTTATTCTCCACTAAAACCAACTAAGTTCGGTTTTATTTTCATTGGGCCTAACTCCTTAAGTCGAGCCGAAGATCTTGCAACTGTCAATCACGTGACACAAGCTGTCGTCAGAGTTGGGTCTATAAGTCGGGTTTGAGGAGTTGCAGCTCGAAACGAAGTTTTTAAATCACGGGCTCAGATAAATCTTTTCAAGGTACCGTAATCGTAACTAGTCCGGGTGTGCAACTCAACAAATTGAGAGGCACATGATAAATAACGGCTACACTCTTCAGTCCATTTAATTAAATCCTTAGTTAGCGTATGCGAAAAATTAAAGAAACCAAAATAAATTTGCAAACCTGTATAGCAGATTTAAGATGTTGTTGAGCAGCAATCCCTGGTGTACGAAACCTAGAATTTAAAGTCCTTTTAAATAGAAGTTTCTAAATCAGGCGATACTTGCATTTTTGGTCGCAGTTAAGTTAATTCAGAGATACTAAATAGAACGTTCAAAAATTAACATGGGCATTATTAGAATAGCGTAAATATATTTTTAGAACATGTTGTGAATACATCGAGTATCAAACTTGTTTTTAAATTACAAAAACAGTAGCGAAGCGACTTTCTCAAAATGATAAATATATATAGGAAAACAATACTTCCACTTTCTCAAAATGATAAATATATATAAGAAAACAATCCTTCCACTTTCTCAAAATGATAAATATATAAGAAAACAATCCTTCCACTTTCTCAAAATGATAAATATATAAGAAAACAATCCTTCCACTTTCTCAAAATGATAAATATATAAGAAAACAATCCTTCCACTTTCTCAAAATGATAAATATATAAGAAAACAATCCTTCCACTTTCTCAAAATGATAAATATATAAGAAAACAATCCTTCCACTTTCTCAAAATGATAAATATATAAGAAAACAATCCTTCCACTTTCTCAAAATGATAAATGTATAAGAAAACAATCCTTCTACTTTCTCATATGATAAATATATATAAGAAAACAATCCTTCCACCGTCTCCTAACACATAATCTAGACTGGACAAACACCAGGCTCGAATATATGTAGAAGACGACATTATATAAGTCCATTGAAGCCAAGAGGATACATATTTGCCCAATTAAGATACATTAGTACACCTTGCAATACAAATTTGTGTCATTTTATAACGTAAATGTTTCCCCAACTCGCATAGTTTAACTGTAATGCTTACCCCACCTCGCAGGAATAATTTTAAAAACATTTTAAATGTCGTCATCATATTTCTGATATTCTCTCAGCCTAGTGTTTGTTCTGTCTGGATGATGTGCTAATTAAATACAAATTAACAAATTAACAAATTAACAAATTTAATATTGAGGTGAAATTGCTTATATGAAAACATTGCTGTCAATGACTAACCTGAGAGACATTTTGTGTGACGCAAAGCCAAGGAATGGATCAACTACAACGGCAGTCGCAATGTCGTCGTAATCCGACAGTTCCTTTGGGGTCATACCCACCACCCCTCCCACCGAACTCATTGCAGATCTCAAACTTTTTTTCTGAAATAATTTTTTTTTGTAATACAAATAAGATAGGAGGATTCGGGAGGTTCGATGAATAGCTATTACACTCATTACACTCGCAAAACTGAGGGTCTGTCCGATAGGGGGGGCTGGGGGGGGGTCCAAAAATCGTATACTAGGAAATTACCGCTCTAGAAGCAAACATGTTAACATTATACGATTATAGTGATGTGCAAGCGAATAATTAATCAGTACTTTAAATTTTACTCTTTTACAAGCAGCACACAGTATATTCTAGATATAATATAATTTTTCACTTTGATTAATTCCTGTTAAACAAGAGCTAAATATCTCAAGACATTTTAGAAATTGACAATTGTGAAAAATTATGTAAAGTTTCTCTGTTCCGCTCTGCTCAGCTGCGAAGAAAAACCTAGAATCGGAATATGAGAAGACTATAGTTTTATAGTAATCATCTGCACTCTAAACTTACAAAAAAGTGAAGTAATTGAAAATTTAGATTTAATATATTACCACGCTCAAAATGGTGCAAATTTAACACTATTTTTTAACGGACTATTTTCTTTGGTCACTGGTTGAAAGAATGGCCGACCAATGAGTGCTACGGATTTTGATCGAGTAGTTAAGCTTTCAAGGGCCTAGAACTATTTTATGTTTTGTAAGGGCGCAGGAATAACAAGGGCCTAGAACATTTTAGAAATTGTCCGTCAAATTTTATTGAACTTAATTAATTCTGAGAACAATTTTAAAATTTGATAAGATTCCATAAATTTCTTTGTTTCAGCAGCTATACTTTAGGCTTTATGCCCAGCTTCAGTTAGAAATGTTTTTCAAGTTGCAGCTACGAAATATACTTTCTATTTACAGACTTAAAAATCTAGTTGGAATATGAATTTAAATGCTTAAGGGATCGAGGTTATTTGGACAACTTTATTCATTCAAACAGACTTTGTTGTAGCAAACATGAACGTCCCAAATCTTAAACTATATTTTTAGCTCTTAAAAGATTTCGTTCGGTGTGAAATGAAATTTTTGGGACAGAACCGATATTATAAGAAATAAATCGTTAACAAATTGAAAGCAAACGTTAATTTTTTTTCATATTATGCTTGGATAAAACAAATTTTGAGGTAAATATTTCAAATGACTGTTAAGGTGCTTTATTTAGTTTGACCTGATGCCGTTAGAACTAACTAACTGGGCTTTTTGAACTATATTGGTCGTTTAAACTATTACGCGTAAAGTACCACGTATAGTAGTTCTAATGACCGAGGGGAGGAAGACCAACCACATCAATCTCTAGTCCGAACCACATTCTCCTCATTTTCTCGTCCGAACCACCTCGTCCATTCAATATTACTTTTTTTAAGTGTCTAATCCTTCCAGATAAAAACTATTTTTAAAGAATCGGGCCACGTTAGGGCATAAATGAAATATCAAATTTTTCTAAATCGAAAAAAAAAGTTTCAATTGAATTAAAGATTTTAAGTTTAATGTCTTTAGAAATGTTCACCTTTTTTACGCGCATTTTCAGATATTCCTGGTGTAGAATGCCGAAAATAATTCCAAGTTTATAGAACTTCAATCTTTTTTGTTAACTTTAGTGAAAACCATAGAATTTTTCCGGGTGTTTCCATGGGGAGAATTATAGGCAGAGGTATGCCGAATATTTTGCTATTTTTTTCATATCACGAGGGTTAGCCATTACGGAGGCAGAAGAGATTAAAGTTTTACCTAAATAAAGTTTGACATCATTCTCATGGGTTTGAAGATTCCAACATTCATAAATTAGTTCAAATGAGCAAAAAAAGTACAATTAAGCCAAAAAAAATTGTTTCAAATGGGCCAAAGAAATGAGCAAAAAAAAGTTTATATGAGCAATAAATAGTTCAAATGTATCAAAAAGATGGTTCAAATCATGAAGCAACTATTTTTTAGCTTATTTGAACTATACATTTTTTTGCTAATTTCAACTATTTTTTTAATCTGCATTTAAACTATTATTTTGCTGATTTGAACTTTTTTTTGGTTCATATAATTATTTTTTTTTTGCTCATTTGAAAGATTAGTTTTGTTTAATTTGAACTTAATTCAATTAGTCAATTAAACTACTTTTTTTCTCATTTGAACTATTAAATGCTTCACTTGTTTTGTTTTTTGGTCATTTGAATCATGTTTATTTTATTTCAATTTTTTCATGAAATATAAAACTTCAAAACTGCATATTTAATAGTTCAAATGAGTAAATAAGGTGTTGTTTGAACTACAGGAAATGACGTCATTACTCATTACTAATCAGTAGTTAGAATGAACAATAGTTCAAACGATCAATAGTTCAAACGATCAATAGTTCAAACGGCGGTAGTTCAAATGCGGATACACCATTTCTACGAGCGAGGGAAGGCAGGCGGCCATGAGCCACCACTATTTCCCCTTCCGTACCACCACATTTGACTATTCCGGGCAAAACTACTTTTTTAAATGGTATATTTAGGGCCTTTAAAGTGTGATTTTAAAAAATCAAGCCGCGTCACGCAATACATATATATTTAGATCTCAATATTTCAGTGTTAATATGTAATAACGATGATTTCTCTTAATGTAAACTGTAAAACTTTTTTTTTGCAAATCCAAATTCTGATTTTCACAAAAAATGGCTTATTTTTACAAGCAATATGAGTTTTAAAAATGACGCACTATAAAATAAACGTCAGTTTTGAAGGGAACCTTGTGTAAAAATGTGCAATGTGTTAAGAAAAAATTGCAAAAAACCCCGGTTTTTTACAAAATCTGTAACGCCTAAGTAATGACAGTAAATATTGTGATTTTTATAATATTTTCTTATTCTTCAGACTAACCTGAACAAATTGTCTCAGCTCCCTCAATACGAAAATTGACTTAGTTTACTTGCTAAAATTTAAATTAAACTACCTCTTTTTTTTACAATTTCAAACAACTTCTTTAAATGTCGTCTTTTAAATGTGATGGCTATTTTAGATAAAGAGACTGGTTGATGAGGTTGAGAGATGAGATGCTTGATGAGTGATTTTTCGTTGTTTCTATTATGTTTCACACATACAGGGTTACCCACAAAGGATGAGACTGTCAAGACGACATGAAACTCTAAATCAAGATTCCAAGGTTAAATTAAATCTTCTACCTTGAATACAATCTTTTAATAGCAATTATATATCTATTAGGCAAAGAAAGAAAGATGTTTACTATTGCAGAGAATAATAAATATAACTTCTCTGCAGTAGTCTCTGAAGTGTCATTCTTTGTGGGTAACCCTGAATGTCTGAACCTAACATTATATTTAAACCTATCAAATTTTGTTTTCTATAAAAAAGTTATGAGGAACGAAATTTCAATTGATTTGTAATGTGAGTGAGTGAGTGCAGGGGCGTACGAGGGGGGGCCGCGCCCCCCGACCCCCTCTACGCGTGCCCCACCTGAGAGTGAGTGAGTGAGTGAGTGTGAGTGTGTAAGAGAGTAGATTTGTGTTAAGTGTGTATGATGAGGTGAGGGAGTGCTGAAAAGAATGAATGAGTGATTGGATGAGGTGAGTGAATGAGTTATGAGGTGATTGGATGATGGGGGAGTTGGTTAATGAGTGATTTTAAGATGGATTTAGTATAATGAGAAAGTAATTGAATAATATTGTGATATTTGTGATATTTTAAGATGCAATACTCAGTCAAAGGGGATATATGGAGATGGCACATTTGATGTGGGGGGGGGGGCCTGCCTTCATTTTTGGTTCAAATCTTCCAATTTTTTGGCTACACGCCTAAACACGCCTAATTAGTGATCGAAATTCCTAAAATAAAATAAAATTGAATTTTAATGACCTCTAATGGCCTCTTATGACCTCGACAAATAGAAAATATTTTAACTATGGCTTTATGCATATCAAGCGAAAGCTAGGAACCAAGGGAATACAGTAGCAGCAACAAATCCAGTGTTTGACCTTCTAATGACCTCTAACGACCTAAATGACCTCCAAAAATGAAAATATTTTAACTATGGCTTTATGCATATCAATTAAAATCTAGGAACCCAGGGAATACAGTAACAGAAACAAATCCATTGTTTGACCTTTTAATGACCTCTAACGACCTCTTATGACCTAAATGACCTCCAAAAATGGGTAACACTTTTTACACAAAAACAATTTTGTATCAATAAAAATGTGATTAAGTACCCCCAAAAAAAGTAAATTCTTTAGTTTGCAACATTAAAATAAATAAATCAAATTGTGTCACAATAATTAAAACACTAGTGACACATGTTTCAAATAAACGTTTTATTGATTAAAGCAATCCAAATAGATTAATATGATGACAACACGCACTACTGTATTGTCTGGGTTCCTAGCTTTTGATTGATATACATAAATCCTTATTTAAAACATTTTCAATTTGGAGGTCATTACAGGTCGTTAGAGGTCATTAGAAAGTCAAACATTGGATTTGTTGCTGCCACTCGATTCTTTGTGGTTTACTAATGTTTGTTTGACATTCCTAAAGCCATATTTAAATATTTTCATGGAGGTTATTATAGGTCGTTTTAGGTCATTAGAAGTTCAAACACTAGATTTGATGCTGACACTGTATTCTCTAGTTCCTAGCTTTCGTTTGAAATACATACAATGGTTAAAACATTTTCAATTTGGAGGTCATTAAAGGTATGCTAGAAAGTCGAACACTGGATGCGTTGCTGCTACTGTATTCCCTGCGTCCTAGCTTTCTTTTCATATGCTTAAAGCCATAGTTAAAACATTTTTATTTTTAGAGGTCATTTTAGGTCATTAGATGGTAAAACACTGGATTCATTGCTGCTAGGGTATTTCCTGGGTTCCTATCTTTTGTTTGATATGCATAAAGCCATAGTTAAAACCTTTTTATTTTGGAGAGCATTTTAGGTCATTAGAGGTCGTTGGAGGTCATTAGAAAGTCAAGCACTGGATTCGTTGCTGCTATTGTATTCCTGGAGTTCCTAGATTTTAATTGATA